TGAAGTTGGAGGGGCCTGTCTGCTGGGCTGAGATGAAGCTCTCTTGCGTCTCATTACATGGGAGGAAGCTCTCAGTGATTTCTTGTGGAGGATGAGGTAGAAAATCTTTCTTTTTGGAAGCTAGGGGAGCTCTGTCCTTTCTTGCTAGGAGCGAGGTCTCTTCAGTCTTCTTAAGACGAAAAGGCGACATACCAAGAGGTAAGAAGGATGCTCTCTTCTGCTGCCACAAATCACCTGGGGACTGCCTTCTTGTTTTGGAGCATGAGGCTTTTTCCGTTTAAATGCTGAGGGATGACCAGATGTCTCTACTTGAAAATTGGGGGAGCTCCACCCTTTCTTCTTGAGCGTCCTCCCCTTTTCAAGAAAGAATGGAGGTCTCTTCTTGCCGAGGGGTAAACGGGGCCCTCTTCTTTTTTGTGAAGTTGGAGCGGCCTGTTTGCTATGTTGAGATGGCGCTTTCTTCTGCCGCCTTAGATTGCTCTTAGTCTCTTCTTGTCGAGGATGAGGCAGAGGATTTTTTTGGAAGCTAATTCAGAGGATGGGGTAGAGGGCTGCTCATGTCTTATTGAAGGCTAAGGGGAGGATCAGACTCTTCTTTTGAAGATTGAGACAGCTCAGTCCTCACTTCTTGAAAGCTATCTCTCTTCTATCCCTTGAGGAGGAAGAGGGGACGACAAGGAGCTCCTCTCTCTTCTTGTCGACTGAGAGGCAGCCGGAGTTCTTTTTTTCCCGTGAAGTTGGAAGGGTTCTCTGCTCATTTGAGATGCTGCGGTAGAGGATGTGCCAAGGGATCTCTTCCTTACCTTTTTGGGGAAAAGAAGCTCATTTCTTGCGGATGACGAAGCAGCGAGCTCCCTTCATTTATCGTCAGAGGAGATGGTGGGAGGAAGCTCTCAGTGATTTCTTGTGGAGGATGAGGTAGAAAATCTTTCTTTTTGGAAGCTAGGGGAGCTCTGTCCTTTCTTGCTAGGAGCGAGGTCTCCTCAATCTTCTTAAGACAAAAAGGCGACATACCAAGAGGTAAGAAGGATGCTCTCTTCTGCTACCACAAATCACCTGGGGACTCCCTTCTTGTTTTGGAGCATGATGTCTTTTCCTTTTAAATGCTGAGGGATGACCAGATGTCTCTACTTGAAAATTGGGGGAGCTCCACCCTTTCTTCTTGAGCGTCCTCCCCTTTTCAAGAAAGAAAGGAGGTCTCTTCTTGCCGAGGGGTAAACGGAGCCCTCTTCTTTCTCGTGAAGTTGGAGCGGCCTGTTTGCTTTGTTGAGATGGCGCTTTCTTCTGCCCCTTTAGATTGCTCTTAGTCTCTTCTTGTCGAATCCTCGAGGCAGAGGATTTTTTTGGAAGCTAATTCAGAGGATGGGGTAGAGGGCTGCTCATGTCTTATTGAAGGCTAAGGGGAGGATCAGACTCTTCTTTTGAAGATTGAGACAGCTCAGTCCTCACTTCTTGAAAGCTATCTCTCTTCTATCCCTTGAGGAGGAAGAGGGGACGACAAGGAGCTCCTCTCTCTTCTTGTCGACTGAGAGGCAGCCGGAGTTCTTTTTTTCCCGTGAAGTTGGAAGGGTTCTCTGCTCATTTGAGATGCTGCGGTAGAGGATGTGCCAAGGGATCTCTTCCTTACCCTTTTGGGGAAAAGAAGCTCATTTCTTGCGGATGACGAAGCAGCGAGCTCCCTTCATTTATCGTCAGAGGAGATGGTGGGAGGAAGCTCTCAGTGATTTCTTGTGGAGGATGAGGTAGAAAATCTTTTTTTTGGAAGCTAGGGGAGCTCTATCCTTTCTTGCTAGGAGCGAGGTCTCCTCAATCTTCTTAAGACGAAAAGGCGACATACCAAGAGGTAAGAAGGATGCTCTCTTCTGTTGCCACAAATCACCTTGGGACTCCCTTCTTGTGTTTTGGAGCATGAGGTCTTTTCCTTTTAAATGCTGAGGGATGACCAGATGTCTCTACTTGAAAATTGGGGGAGCTCCACCCTTTCTTCTTGAGCGTCCTCCCCTTTTCAAGAAAGAAAGGAGGTCTCTTCTTGCCGAGGGGTAAACGGAGCCCTCTTCTTTCTCGTGAAGTTGGAGCGGCCTGTTTGCTTTGTTGAGATGGCGCTTTCTTCTGCCCCTTTAGATTGCTCTTAGTCTCTTCTTGTCGAGGATGAGGCAGAGGATTTTTTTGGAAGCTAGTTCAGAGGATGGGGTAGAGGGCTGCTCATGTCTTATTGAAGGCTAGGGGGAGGATCAGACTCTTCTTGTGAAGATTGAGACCAAGCCGCCGAAGAGTCTGCCGGCGACTTCTCGCTCGAAGCGCTGGCCTGGAAGCCGCATATCGATCAGAACGATCGGCGGCCGCGTTGGCCTTAGCGCGGGCTCAGCCACGACATTTCAGCATCGCACACGAAACCCGGACAGCTCAGTCCTCACTTCTTGAAAGCTATCTCTCTTCTATCCCTTGAGGAGGAAGAGGGGACGACAAGGAGCTCCTCTCTCTTCTTGTCGACTGAGAGGCAGCCGGAGTTCTTTTTTTCCCGTAAGTTGGAAGGGTTCTCTGCTCCTTTGAGATGCTGCGGTAGAGGATGTGCCAAGGGACCTCTTCCTTACCCTTTTGGGGATAAGAAGCTCATTTCTTGCGGACTTGCGGATGACGAAGCAGCGAGCTCCCTTCATTTATCGTCAGAGGAGATGGAGACTTACAGGGAGGTAGAGGAGCTCGCTGCTAGGAATCAGCTGAATGATTTGGAGGGACTTTCTCCGTGTTTTCGTTGAGGGTTGGGGGGAATCTCCACCCTTTCTTGATCCGTCTGTCTACATTCCAAGGAGCCCCACCAATGTCGATGAGGCGAGACGAAAGATTCTATACTTGTATTGAGTATGTATAGAGAGACGTCGGTCCAGTACAATCGCGATATACCTACGTCTATAGTATGCAATGAAAACCCACAGTTTCAGCTGGCGACTATATCCTGTTTAAGCCGGCCACGGGGGGGTGGGTATACGGGGTTGTAGGGTTTTTAGGGGTTATAGGGTTTGGGGCGGTGTCTTTGTGGAGGGTTCGCGGGGGTTGACAATAGCTTACGGGGTTCGGTTAAGTCCTTTATAAGGATGTTGTAAAACTGTTTTTGGTGGTTTAGGGCTTGTAACTACGTGCATTAAGGCCCTGGCTAGTACTTGCAACCCCAGTTAAGGTACAGGTTTCATAGCACTTTACGTTTCATCTATAGTCTCCATTGTAGTTCCTTTTTGGGGGCTCCCTTTTAGGATCCCTAATATAGAACTGGTTAAACCAAACAAGGAACTACGGTGGAGACTATAGGCAAGGGTCATCTCAGACCAGGTCATCCCCACGTGGTCGGAACACCGGTTCTCGCGTAGGGTCCGGTTCAGGATTTTGGGGCTGGGGTCGAGGGCTCAAGTAGCCACATAGCAGGAGCAGGGTCTTACGTCCTGATAGTGAAATATGGATGTGTTTTTCATGCACCGCCAACCTAGCGTTCGAAGACCTGGGCCCTTAGGGATTTGCGGGCAGGGCCCTCCCTCGTTTGGTGAAGATGCATGGCTGCGTTCGCCCAGCTACGGCTCTCTGCAGGGCTTCCAGGATGCCTTGTCTTGATAGACTCGAAAACGTGGTTGTCGATTTTGAACCACATGCGGCGATTACACGCCATTAGCCCGCACTCTTCGCACGTCACCGTGCACCTAAAGATGCAGGCATTAGCGTCCCAGTGTGCCAGTGCCCATCGCCGGAAGTCTGGAATGCTCAGGGTCTGTTGCCGTGGTGCAGTCTCCTGCACAAACTCTTTGGTCAGCGTGAGTTGCAGCTTTTGCCAAAAAGTTGCTGCAATCCAGGGTCCAGGTACCAGAGACCCTGAATCGAGGGCTCAGGGTCTAGAGGGCCAACCCCTGAAAGGCTGCAAGCAATTCGTGGCTACCAGGCCCTCCGACGGATCCAACTTAGATGGACACCTCGAAAAAGAACTTTCTTATCCTATACACTACCTTAACCCGGAAGAACCTACCATTTTAAGGGACTTATACAAGGAAATCATAATAAGGAGCCCTAAAAAGGTAGGTTATTCAGGGTTAAGGTAGGGTTTAAGCTTCAGGGTTGAGGATTATCATGGTAGGAGACCGTGTCTGGACTTCTTTTTGTTGCATGGATCCTTTAACCAAAGGGTACAAGGAGGGACCCTTACTAAGGACCCCTAGGTATATACCCTTAATATAGCTATTATATACCCACTATATAGCCCCATTATAGGGTAGGGGTCCCCATTAAGGGTCCCTTCTTTTCCCCTTTGATTTAACTTGTGGCGTTATCATGCAAGTAAATTAAAATACCCTTGAATCCCCGAGGCCAACATGTAGAAGCCTGAATCATTACCAATATTATTCCTTTGGCTTTCTCATTATGGATATGCCATGAAGGAGCCCAAAACCCTGTTATAAGTCTGAAGGCCCCTGTGCTAAACGCCATGACCTGACCTTGCCCGACACGTCTCCGATGCATGAGGGTTTTAGGGTTTAGGGTTTCGCCGTATTTAGGTGTGCTGAACATGAACGCCAGAGCAAACCCATGCATACCTACACTGTGCTAGACAGTCTATACAACACTTTGCAGGAGACTCCTTGCGCTCGAGTCCTTGAACCGCAACTGTGTAGTCTTGACTGGTTCAGACTCATATCCCAACTACCCTAAACCCTAAACCCTAAACCCCTAAACCCTAAACCCTAAACCCTAAACCCTAAACCACTACCACATCCATCAGCCCCCGAAACCTCTACACTCTAAACGCGAAGCCCTATATCCTGCATCCTAAACCCTAATGTCATAGACCCAATACACCTTCCAACCCCTAGCTGCGAAACCCTGCACACAGCTCTGGAAGCCCTATATCCTGCATCCTACTGTCCTAAGCCCTAGACACACACACACACAAAAAAAAAAAAGAAACAAAAAACAACACCTTGAACCCTGACGAACAAGAGTGAACAGGGACCTCAGGTCCGCGCTGACGAGAGCGCGACTTGGCCTGGGCCTGTGCTCGCGCAGAGCCGCGTTGTCGCGGATCAACTTGACCTTCCAACAGGGTCGGGTTGTTTGGGAGGGTTTTTAGGGTTACATAGGCCTATTTAAATTTTGTTTGCATAAGGTTAAAATTGTGGGTTAAGGGTTTGGGGTGTGGACCGGTTCATGTATGAGCAAGTATAATCCCTTCCCCCTAACATTAAAGGGCCCCCCCCTCCCCCTAGATAATATTAAAACTGGATTTCGGAAGTTTAGTTTTTATATTACGGGGGGGTTTCGGTTCGGTGCATCCATGAATGAGTCCCTAAACCCTAAGCCTTAAACCTCGAGCCCCAAACCCTAAAGCCCTGAGCCCTAAACTTTAAGCCCCAAAGCCCCAAGCCCTAAGGCTTTAGCAACCTTAGAGCTCTGCTGTCTTTAGTACTGCTGTAATCTTTGGCTCTATAAAGCCCTGAGCCCTAAACTTTCAGCCCTAAACCCTAAAGCTGTACTGTCTTTAGTACAGCTGTAATCTCTGCCGCTTTCCCTGTCAAAGTATGCACACAACAGGAACGGGCAGGAACAACGGAGCACGACCGACAGATTGAACGGGAAACCAAATCGGCCGGCCTTTTTTCTGATCCTCTCGGACTTCGCTGAGTTGCTTCATGACTGAGCTGAGGGTCCCAGGCATTGCTTTGTCAGTCGAGGCTGAACTCTGCTGCGTCGTTTCTTTCTCGGCGGACAATGGGGCCGGATTGGTCCGCGAGAACACCGTGGCTTTGCCTACAGCCATTGGCTGCATCGCAGCATTCACAGCACTGCCGGAGATCGCAGTGGAAGCGGTCTCAGGTTGGCTCCATTAAAACTCATACAATCCTAGCACCCCCCATGTTCGTGATTGACTTTCAATTGTGGGCCCGAAATCGCGAAATTCCGGGGGCCGGGAGTTTTTTTACATTAGGGGGGGTTTAATAATAGGGGGCAGGGATTAGTCTTCAGAATCAGCTAGGGTACAGTTTGTAACTACTATCCCAACAACATCCAAAAAATCTACGGAGCCCGACATACACTCACCAAAATCTCTATTATTATTATTATTATTATCATTATTATTATTATCATCATTATACTTATTATCATTATTATTATCATTATTATTGTTAATTCTTCGGGCTTGAGCTTGGGGTTTCAGGTTTCGGGACTGTAGCATAGGGCTTGGGGATTCGGGTCTCTGATACTAGGATACCCAGTAACCTAAGAATAAAAAGGCCTCTCTTTTTGGTATCTTGGGTAACTTTATAAGGAACCTAGGACTACAAAAAGGGAATAAGGGTACTACTGGGCATCCTAGGATACTATGGTACAAAACAAGCCCTCCGCGGACCTGCACCTTGAGGCACTCGTCTGCATCCTGGCAGTTAGCAGACACGTGATTGCTACACCTCCTCATTTTCGGAAACTCTAAACCCTAAACCCTTTATGGACTTTATAGATCCCTTTTAAGGAACCCTTTAAAGGAACCCTTTAAAGGAACCCTCCTTTCTTTAAAACCGGGCTGTGGTCAGGATCCTAGCTAAAAGCCTCGTCAGCTGGTGTCTACATCGAGCAGATCCGATTGAAGCTTCGGGTGAACACGGATAGACAGACCGATTCCAGGGTCTTGTGGTCGATGATTGAAAGGCTTTAGGAACTTAGGTTGCTGAGGCTTGTGGTTCGGGAAGCACTGCTTGCATGTGGGCGCCCTGGACCGACTACAGCTGACACAAAGCCGTCTGTTTCAGCTCGCAACCATTTCCCCATATCGAATATACATAAACACCACTTTCCCCAACATCCTAAACCGCTTAACGCATGAGAACCCTCAAAATGGTTGGCCGAAAGATGACGTACACGGCCATGGATACGCCGGACCGACAACTTCTATGGTACCTATAGTCTCCATTGTAGTTCCTTTTTTTGGTCTAACCAATTCTATATTAGGGATCCTAAAAGGTAACCCCAAAAAGGAACTACAATTGGGACTATAGGTAGTGTCCGTATGCAACCATGGGACTCTCGGTCTCCATGTACCTATGTACTATATACTTGGGCCTTAACGTATCCCTTATGTCCATATAGGGTTCCTTGTAAGGGCTCCATTAAGGGTTCTACAGGGTTTAGGGCATAAGGGTCTATGTACCTGTATAGTATACACTTAGTCCTGAAAGTGCCTAGTGAAAGTGCCTATGAAGAAACCCCTTTAAGGCCTATATATATATATATATATATATACATATACATATACATATACATATATATATATATATACATACATACATACATATATATATATATATATATATATATATATAGAGAGAGAGAGAGAGTACATAAGCAGTGAGTTTGCAAGCCTTGACCTGACGAATTCCGGGCCATTGTCGCTTTTGGGTGCCCTAAACCCCCAAAACCCGTAACCTAAAACCCTAAACCCAAAACCTAAACAAAAACCCTAGACCCAAACAATACAGTAAACCCCATAAAGTTGGAAACCGGTTTAAAGCCAAATAGTGCTGGGGTTCCCTATACATTACTCTTAAGGATCGAGGCTATGGGGTTTCCAACTTTTGGGCTTCTACTGTAAACCCTTCAAACCGCGTTTTGGGGCTGGGTCTTCTCAACTGGCGACCATGCGCAGGGCGAAGAAAACGTCTTCGTAGGTTCATGAAACCCTGGACCGTAAACGCTGAACCACACGGTTTAGGCTTGAGGGCTTAGGGCTTAAACCCGGAACCTTCAACCCCAAACCCCCTTTAGAAGGAAGGGGCTTTGCAGATCAGGTCGGCACTCAAACACTAAACCCCAAATCCTGATAAACCCTAACCCTAAACACTTAAGCCCCTAAAGCCCTAACCCAAATCCTAAAGGTCCTCAACCTTCAATTCAAGCCATAGTCCTTGACCACAAACTCTAAACGGACAGCTGCATGCTTTCCACGTTCAGTTGTTGGTTGTAACGGCACCTCCCCCTCATCGGGCTGTGTGATATAAGGGGCTTTCAAGGGCTTCCTGTTCCTACATAGTATATACTTGGGCCTTACAGTATACCCTTTGCCTGTATAGGTTTCCTTTTAAGGGCCTCCTTTACAGGATTTTAGGGGTTTCATTATTAGCCTTCGGATCGGTCTTATCGCGGCTTTGCTTCTGCAGGCTAGGACTTGAATGCTAAACCCCTAAACCTGAACCCCAAGCCCTAAACATAGAACAGGGCTTAGGGGCCACGTAGGGGCCGCTATACCATGAAGAATGTAGGGAGTACCAGGGAATAATATACTTCTACTTCTTCTAATAAGCCCAAACAAAAAACCGGACCCTCCCCCCCTCCGTTCCATGACGGAAGGACCTGATAGCCAAAGAGGTGCTGCCAAAGATGCATGCCACCTGCACACAAATGGCGTTGAGGGGTTTGGGATAGGGTTTAGAGTTCAGCATATTGGACAACTGGGGGTTTCAGGGTTGGGGGTGCTGGAAGTTGGTGTGGTTTACCCGTTTGCCATCGGAAAAATTTCGATTGAAAGGCTTTGTCCCTAAGACGCCACATACCTCATGATGTTCTGATGCCGGATTCTTAATATGATCTCCACACTGCCACAGTAAAAACATCCAAAACATGCACTGACCGAAATTCCTACGCAGCGCTACAAATACGCACACAAAGGCAGTAAAACAACAAAAACATACGCCTTGCTTCATATACTCCTCTAAACACCGAGCTACACAGCTACACTTCCTACTACCGCAAACCAACATAACTAAGGCACAGGCTGCGCGCATGAGCTCGGATTTGCACTAAAAGCACGACAATGAACACACACACACACACACACACACACATAAACTCAAACACACACACACACACACTAACTAACTAAGTCCTAGACTGGTCCTAGACGTCACACTCACACCCTTAACCCCGAAAACGGAAAAAAAACAGGCACACAGAGGGCTTGCGCGACTCGCTTTTTGCCAGAATTTCAGGACCCTGCAAGACTGTAGAAGCTCTGTTCGCTTCCCGGGAGGCTCGGTCTGCAGAAAACATGCCCACTATCCGCCACTGCTTCTTTAACGGATCCTGGTAGTTGAAAGTGGGGCTAAGAATACAGCGATGACCGGAATACAGGTATAGGTACTTGCCGGCCAACTTCCGGGTATCATAATGAGAGCCTTGGAGCAGGCTGGTCGTGTTGATGGTTCCTTGCGACGTTCTCGTGCCTTCCAGAATCAGCAACTTGGACGAGCGCTGTGTGCCACCACCTGGCAAATTAAATGAAAGGGGCCTTCATAATTAGAATAGTGTTTGGGGTATATTATACCATAATTATTAAAGGCCCCTGCAATACCAACTGGGCCAGGGCCTGACTTGTTAGAATAGGATCTGGGAGACTTGAGTCTACGAAAAGGTTCGGGCAACTTGGGTATGCTCTTAGCGATGATGTACACATATGGGTAGTTGTCAAATTGTGGTCCCTTCTTTGGTACCCTAAATAGTAGGTGCCGTACCATAGCAAGGACCCAAAAAGGGACCATAATTTTGACAACCACCCATATGGAGACCCATTCAGTATCAACCTCTTGTGACACCTAGCAAATTGTAATTTCGAGGCCTAAAGCTTGACAGCATAAGCTCATGCCATAAATTCTTTGGGTGCCTACATCTTGCCAGGTGCATTTTCAAGGCAGATACGTTCGTTGGCTGACGTGTGAGCCCCTCCTAAAAGTTGAACTTGTAGCATCCTTATTACAGTTCATACAGAAAAACAAAAAAGTTAAAGTGATAAGAGCCAGCCGGAAGAACGCCAAGTTTCAATACCCAAACCGTAAAATCAGTAGAACCTAAGCAGCCTAATTCCCACGGCATAAACCCTATGCATACCAAAGGCTGCCTTGTAAACTTCGGGGAACCCCGGGCCCCATGCACCTAGTACATACTTAGGGGTATAGGTTAGAAGAGACTCGCACCCTGTAATGGTGGTATAATAGGAATATAATAGGGCCCGAATATAATCCTTTTAGTCAGGCTGGGGGCAGCTTCTAGGGTTTAAGAGCACTTTGACCTTAGGGGAAGATCTCAATCCGAAAAGCTGCTTGAACCCAGGAAAATGTTCCTGAGACCCCTACAGCGGGTTCAGAGTTTAGGGTCCGAGTGCCTAGTATCCTCACTTGTCCAGTATCCGAGGGAACTTAAGGTTAGCCTTTGGGTTGTATAAGGATTATAGTACCCAGAAATGTTAGAGCTTACCTACTCTACTACTAAGTATCCTCAACTAAGTATCCATACCTTCTCTCACGAAGCGACAGTACTACTCTCCTAAGGACGATCAGGCACTGTCGGCTCCTGCGGGAAGGTGAGTTGGCAAAGAGCCCACGCAAAAAAAAATTGGTGCACAGTGCCCGCCGAAATTTAGGTACTTGTGAATTGGAGAGTGCATAATGTTGCAGGCACCCTAAACCCTAAACCCCAAAACCCTAGACCCCCAAACCCTAAACACCCAAACCCTAAAGACCCCAGTATGCGATCATTGGGCACTTGGGCCCGAAGGGTAGGCAGGGAAGTCCTGGGTCTGGCAAGGGAGACGGCACACCCAAAAACTTGAACCCCGAATCCTAAGGTCCTAAGGTCCTAAACCCTGAACCCTAAAACCCAAACCCAAAATCCTAAACACTAAATCCTAAGCCCTAAACCCTAAGCCCTGAAACAAATCCTAAACCCTGAATACTAAGCCCTGAATCCTAAGCCCTAAACCCTCAACCCCGAATCCTAAACCCTAAACGGTAAGCCCTGAACTGTGTCGGGCCCGACCTGAGATGGTGGCGAAGTAACCTGCACTTCCCATTCAGGATCCCAAGTATTCTTGGTTTAGGGTTTCGGGATTTAGGGTTTGGGGTTCAGGGTCTGTACTTCCCAAGTATTCTGGGTTTAAGGCTTCGGGATTTAGAGTTTGGGGCTCTTGGGGTCTGTCTAGTATCGCTCCCGTTTTGGAAAGAGCTGTCGTGTTTTCGGTGATGCCAAAGTTGTGCACAGGTTGCGTGCAACTCAGAGACTCCAATACCCCTTAATTAAGGAATATACCTTGAATTATAGTAGGATCCTGTATATGATTTAAGGAATATTCCTTAAGGGATTTTGGGGTCTCTGGGAAGGCAACTGTGGCTCCGGAGCAGCTAGAACCTGTGGGTTACCAGACGTGCGCATCGGCCTGAGACGTTGAGGTTCCGGGCGAAGGTTTAGGATCTAGGGTATAGGCTCTTGTTATGTAGCTTTATAGGTCAGTATGTGCAACAAACCCAGAGGGTCCAAGTACCCGAATAGTAGGGTTTTAGATCCCAAAATCCCATACCCTGAATGGTTTTTGGACCTTGAAACCCTACTATTTGGGTACTTGGACCCTTAGAGAAACACAAATCTAAAGTAAAAGCCAGAAAGTTGGAATATGATTATCCTAAACCCTTTATGGTAAATTATAAGGTATCCTACCCTGAAACCATATTCCAACTTTCTGGAGTTCCCTGTAGAGGCAAGGTCCAGGGTAAGGCGAACAAAGGCTCTAGGTCAAAAACTCGAAAATTTAGGAGCAAAACTTATTTTCACACAGCACATGAATTAGGCAAATACACACATACATACATATATACATACATGCATGCATGCATGCATACATACATGCATAAATGCATGCATGCATATACATATATATATATATGCATATACATGTGTTATATGCGTATAGAGTATTACAGGTTACAGAAGGTATCTAACCATGTGTGTGTGTGTGCGTGTGTATCACACGCGAACATATGCCTTCTGTGGGGACGGTTGGGCTAGCACTCAGGATCGTCCCACATCGTGATATAGCAATTGTCATTCAAACACCAAGGGTTCTATAAGCCCTAAGTACGGAACCCCTACACACTAACCTTGAACCATCGGGGTCCTACATTCGATTTTAAGGTTTAGGGGTTTGGGGTTTAGAGGGCTTGGACGAGGCGCTGGCCCCATGCAACGACGAAGCTCCCTACTAAGCCCTTCACGGTGAGGGCACCCTTCCCCCCAATTTTTTCAAGGACAATTCAGGAAAATATAACAGGTATAAGGGTGCTACTGGCAGACTTAGCCCAAATTCAACACCCTGATAAAGCCCCCATGCATCCCGTGTAAAGCCTTTAATAAAACCCTTCTATGCAACAGTCTGAGAAGGCAGCTGTATGGTGTCTGGTTGTCGAAGTGGAACAACAAATCCTGTGAGCTGCCACAGATCCGCGGACGTTGGGGTTAGATAGGGGCCTTAATAATTAGAAATGGGTTTGGGGGTGTGTGCATGTTTGGATGTATGTGTATATATATATATATATATATATATATATTATATATATATATATATTATATATATATATATATATACGTAAAACTATAATTATGTTAACCAGCCTCCAAAGTAGTATTGGGTTCCAGGGGTTTGGTGGCTACAGTCCTGTTCCGCGGTTAGGGTCTGGAGGTGCAAAGTCGCGGGATTTGGGATGTCGGGTGCAATGCAGGGGCCTTAGTAGTTAGACTAGGGTTTGCAGGGCTTGGGGTTCCTTATTGTAATGATAGTAGAATATACCCCCCAAACCCTGTTCTAAGTGTAAAGGCCCCTACTGGTCCAAGAACCCCTGTAGCCGCCAATAGATGTCGGGACCCGGCGCGACAGGACCTCGAAGACAAGAAACGGAACCCGGGTCCATGTGCCCAAATAGTATATACTTTGGCCTCAAAGTCGCTATATAGGGAGTACGGGAGTACTGTAAGCCCGAATATACACTATTTGGGTACATGGACCCTTTCAGGCAATGAAACTACACAGGTGGCTGCCACAAGCACCGAAGCCAGAAACCCCAAATCCCGTGAATCAACCCCAAACCCTCAACCCTAAATCCCAAACTCTACCTGTAGTCATTATCTGTAGTCTGCATAGCCTAGTTCATTGTCTGGTTAAACAACTTTGAAGGTTCGGAATATGAACTGTGTACAACCTAACGAAGGTAGACAACAGGTGCGATATGTTCTGTAGAGGCCTAAACAATGGGAAAAACGGCTTTGGCATACATTGTAGTATAGCGTAATCAGACGCCCCAAGGAATGAATTTCGTATTCTTGTGGGCTTCTATCAGAAGCCTAGAACCCTAAACCCCGAACCCCGTACAGTCCCAAACCTCTAAGCCCCCAAACCCCAAACCCTCAAACGCTAAAACCCTAAAATTTAAAAGCCAAACTCAACCCCTTAACCAGTAGAGGGCTTGTATAAAAACCTCTATGCCAAAACCCTAAAACCCTATTACAACTAAAAAACCCTAAAGCCCTGAACCCTTAAACCCCTAAACCCGAATTAGAATAAAAAGGACCCCCAAACCCTAAAACCCCAATTAATTCCAAAAAAAACCCTAAAGCCCTGAACCCTAAACCCTAAACCCCTGAACCCTAAACCTTAAACCCCAAAGCCCTGAACCCCCTTATAGAACCTTTTCGATCCCTTTAAAGGAACCCTTAAAGATCCCTAAACCCCTAAAGCCCTGAACCCTAATTACCATAAAAAAAGACCCTCGTCCGGGCCTCACTGGAGCGAAAGTCGCGGGGTCGAAGTACCAGGAAGTAGCCCTCGGGAAGGCAGATTTTTTTTTTTTTTTTGTTGAGGGCTCTTTTCCGACTGCAGTACAGCTAGAAATTTAGGGTTTAGGGTTTAGGGTTTAGGAGTTTAGGGTTTAGGGGTTGGGGGTTTAGGGTCTAGGGGTTTAGGGTTTTAGGGTTTTAGGGGTTTAGGGTTTAGGAATTTAGGGTTTAGGGCTTAGGAATTTGAATTTGGGTCGTTGTCAAAATTATGGTCCCTAATTGGGTACCCTAAATAGGGACCTAAAAAGGGACCACGACAACCACCCATGTAGGGTTTCGGGTGTAGGTATTTACATGTAGGGGTTTAGGGTTCAGGGGTCGGGATTTATAAGGTGCCTTTTGACGATTACCGGTTCATGAAAGCAGATACGATCAGGGTTTATATGTACATATATTTACATATGTATGTACATATATATATATATATATAGATTTGTGTTTATACATATATATATATATATATACATATACGTGCATATATATATATATATATACATGGGTTACCATAAAGGTAGGGGTTGCAGTTAAGGATGGTTTCGGGCTCAGGGTTTAGGGATTGAAGGTTGGGGTGCGGGGTCTAGGAGATTAGAGCTTAGGATTCAGGGTTTAGGGTTGGGGAGTTTAGCCGGCCGCAGGGTTTAGGGAATGTGCGACAACTTCTGCAGCTAGGTGCGGGGTTTGGGGAAAAGAAAACAGGCAGTAGTGTTTCAGGCGGAGGGGTTTAAGCTTTGGTTTAGGGGTTTAGGGTTTAGGGCCGTTAGCGCATGGAGGTTCGGATACCTAGCGATAAGTGATGCCTGTAGAGCTTTGGGCTTATGCGAGTCTCGGGTGAAATTGTATGAGACCTGCTTCGTCCCTTAAACACTACACCCCGAACCCTAAATCCTCAACCCCAAACGGCCCTAAACCCTAAAGCAGCAGGGAAGTATTTTATGATATTTTATGCTTACAGAGTACAGCGCCCCTGCGACTCTGGGTAGTTACCGGTCTCAAAAGAAAGGGCCCTCAAAACGTTGCGGCTGACGGCTTCCGCGAGGGCTTTGGAGTTTAGGTTAGGGGCGTTACCGAGCTGTATGAGTTTACGAAGTGCTTATAGGGTCCGTACAGAGTTTTAGATGCTGTCTCAGACTTCATTCAGGGCTCCTGCAAGAGCGTAAATCCGAGCCAGCTTCAATTTCCGGTGCTTCGGTTGATGATACAAACCCTGCATTACCCATAATAAGGAATATACCATAATTCCCATAGTGTAGGGTCCTTGGAAGCGGCCGGGATCGGGCAGCAGCACTCCGAGCTCAACCAGCCGAGCCCTGAAAACCCTCCCCACACTGAGCTCTCATCCAAGGGGAAAAGGAGGGACCCTTACTGGGGTCCGCTCAAGGCTCAATGACCAGAAGATGAACTTCGTGATTACCGGACTGAAGCAAGATCGCTCCAGGATAGATGCCCACCTCTGACCTCAGAAATCTGAATCTCGAATAATCTCGTTAAGGACTATATAAGTAACTTATCAGGAACCCTGAAGCGAAAGCTTTGCAGGGTTCAGGTAGAGTTTAGGGATTGGAGTGTTTGGGCTTTGGAGCTTTGGGTAGGAGATGTTGTTTGTGCGGATGAGGGCACTTTGGTTCCCGAACACCCAACTCCTCTGTCAATCGGATACCTCAAACCGCCAGCCCTAAAACGTAGTATCTCCCATGCACTGGTTGTTAACGGAGCCCATGCGGCAACCCTAAAGTCCAAGAAACCATTGAGAGATTCACGTCACTCCTGCCTCTGCCAAAGGGACATGGTTCTTGGCAGGAAACGTCGTCTTCTGGATGTCCACCTGGCCATAGCTGAAGCATTATGGCCTACAGGGTTAGCAGGGTTCAGGGTTTTGGAGCTTCGGGTTCTCTTCGGGCTCATGCAGACACCCCAGAGTGCCGTCAGGGACACCACTTGTCGAAGGCTCTTGGATTTCCGAAAAAGCGCCCAGGCCAGTTCTTCGCAGAAGCTCTTTCCCTTCGTTGTGTCCGTGCACCGAGTTGCGGGAAAGCCGCCAATGCCTAGTCCTGATCGACGTAAGTAGCATGTACCCTTCTTTCCGGGACCATCGCACCAAATTCAGCAGGCTTGTCTCCCAGAATCCAAAACCCCAAAACCTAAGAACCGACACAACGGCGGAAGAGCTTTGCACCATCCACGCTTCTATGCCAGACGGTCAGGGTGTTTGGAGTTCGGGCTTAGGGATTTAGGAATTTAGGGATTTTAGGGTGTAGGGCACTCCAGCCTATAATGCGAACTCCCATACAGCTGCTTTGATCCTCCAAGAAGTTTGTCAACTGTGCCATGGTCTGCTGACATGACATATTCATATGGGAGTTTCCGAATTTAGGGGTACCTTATTTTGGGGTCCTTGTAATAAGGATCCCACGATTTAGGGTACTATATATTAGGGTCCGCTATTTTCGGAAACTCCCATATCATGGGCACAATGGTAAATCTCACAGCACGGGCCACCTCTTGATAGGATCGAACCTATGTGCACATCTTGGTGAGAGGAAGTCTTTGACGTTCTGGCTGGCACGATTGCTGCACTGCTTGTGAAGATGACTCTCACCAAACGCGCCCTGCATGCAATGCCTTGTTGACGTTTGTGGAAATTTCTCCACATCCGCCGGTGGTTTGGGAATGCGGTGATCCCACGTGTGTGCTACCTTGATAGGAATCAGGGTCAGCAATCAGGGTCTTGAAGTCACGCAAATCTTCCGAAGTAAAGCCCTGCGAAACCTCAACCTAAAAGCCTGACCCCACGGCCTAATTTCCGGGTATATGGGAGCTTCCGAAACTAGGGGACCCTACTATAGTACCCTAAACTCCCATGTAGGGTTTGGAAATTAACGGGTTTAGGGAGCTTAAACTCCAACCCTGCTGCAAAGCCCAGGGTCCTAGGCTAAGGCCCAACTAGACTCTTTAAACCATTACCTGGACCCCCCAAAATATCTAGCATACTAGCCTTTTAAAGGCTTTGGCCCATTACCTTACCTGCTTTGCGGGGTTTAGGGTTTAGGGTTAAGTTTTTAGGGTTGAGGGTTTATTTCCTTCCCTAAACTCTCAAGCCCGTAAGCTTCGACGCCTTCATCGCAAATCCCTTAAGATCCAAAAAAAGCCTAACTTCCTGAACGTCTGAGCCATGAAAAACCCAACAAAAAGCCCTTTGAAATCTTGAAAGAAACACCAAGGCAATCCCTAAAGAACTCTACGACACCCGTCAGAACTAGTTGACTAGCCCCGGTATAAGCCAGAACAACCCTAAACCCCATAATATGGGGGGGCTTTGATAATCAGAATAGGGTTTTGGGGCGCGTTATATTATACTTCTAATCAGGAACACCCCAAATTGTCTAGGTAATTATTGGGGCCCCTTAGGCCGTAAGCCTGGTCTAATGCATTGCAAAAGGGCCTGAACGAAGCGCGGCTCGACTCGTCCCTGCCCTGAGTCACCACTGCGGTCCCGGTAGACGTGGAAGGTGCCTGAGGGTTTCCCAAAGGCTCCATGTACCTTTATAGTAGATACTTAAGCCCCAAAGTAGTCCCTATATAGGTACTTCAAGGCCTAAGTATATACTATATGGGTACATGGAGCCTTCGGGGTTTTGAGCGGGTAAAACACCTCTATTTTGAGATTTCGTGAGGTATTTTAAGGGCGATCAAAAGGCTTCAGAAAGTCTTAGGCTTTCCCCGCCCCCACGTGTCTAGCTATTTTCTCATCTTGATATGTCTTGATCGAAAACGTATTTTCTTAAACAAGGGATAGCTGCAAAGGTCGCCAGAAACGATTTCTTCTGAGACTTGGAATAAACAGAAGTTCCCAACAGACAGGAGATCTGATCTTGCACGCCACACGCCACCCCAAACTGGGCTGGCCCCACGACACCTTCAACAACAAGCGGAAAAGTCTGAAACCCAACAGAATTCCTGCCTGACATCCCACGAAACCTAAACCCCAAAAAAACTCCTAAGTGCTGAAACCCCATGCAAGCCAGAGGCTCCAAAACGCTGCTTCAATTGTCAAACCTCTTCTCTGAGCGCTGGGCGGCAGTGCTCCACGCCGTCCAGGCCTTCCAAGACAGAGGGTTTAAGTATCATTATGGTATATACTTATAGGGTATTTTGGGGGTCTAAGTATATACCATAATGATACTTGGACACTTTGGGCAAGACAGAGGGTTTAGCTTTGGTTTGTGGCTTAACCACTCTTGTAGCTATGCAACCAAAAAGGAACTACAATAGAGAATGCAGGTAGGGTTTAGAGTGCCGGCCACTTTGCTGCAGGAACTGGTAGAGCCTCTTGCAAGTAGGGCCAACTCATCGCAGGCTGCTTAGATGATTAGGATTGGGTTTGGGCTTTAGGGTTTAGGGCTTCTAGGATTCTGCTGTTGAGGCTTCTCCCTCGGCCTCGTAGTCAAAGAAGCACTGAACACCGAAACACACTATGAAGACCTCGTCTTTTGCTGTGTACCAAGGCCTCCAAGTACCTAGATAGTACGTTAACATGATATGTAGCCCAGTAACCCGATTATTTGGGGAACTGGAGCCCTAGGGCGTGTAACGGTATGAGTTACGAAAGGGTTTGGGGCAGTTCAGCCTGTTGTGGAGGCTGTTTGGTAGGGTTCAAGCCAGTTCTCAACCTTGCCTTGAATCTGAGAACATTACTGCATACCGCCCAATGCAAAGGGAGGGTAGAAGCAGGGGGCAAAACTGACTTCAACCCAATGAAGCCTCCCCCAAGTCAAACCTAGCCAATGGTCGAAGTGCCTACATCAGCACTATATTACCCTAAACACAAGAACCTCATTTCCGGATCCTTGAGCGTCCTTAGACTCCTATAAAACAAACCCTAAACCTAAACTCTAAACCCCTGAACCCTAAACCGTGAACAAGCCCCGAACAAACTCTGTAGGGCCCCAAAAAGGCACATAAGCAAAAATTAGTACAGTGATATCCCATATAAACCTCCTTATAATGAAGCCCATGAAAGGCTTATGCTTATGTGTTTTGTCGGCCCCTAACCCTGCACCCTAAACCCCAGCAGCATGGACCTTGGAAGGAGAAGGGCTCGGACGTCAGGCCGTCGTGACGGAAGTATAGCCTTCACTAAGGGGCTGGTTTAGGGTTTCGGGTTTCGGGTTTTGGGGTTTAGGGTTTAGGGTTTACCCGGACCCTATGAAACCTACCTTTTTCAGGTTCCTGAATATGAAATCTTTATGAAAATCCTTAAAGAGGTAGGTTATCTGGGGTCAAGGTAAGGTTTAGGGTGTAGAGGGGGCTGAGTACCCTAGCCCAAGATAGATCAATTGACCTGTGTTGTCACATCTCACATTTCAGGATTGCATGAAGCCCGAAGGGTATAGCGCGTTTAGTGTTCTTAGGGCTCATATGTAATCTAACCTTGGGTCCCGGGGTGCGGGGTTCCAAACTCGAAGTACAAAGTTCATGGTCCGGTTTGCGCAGGGCGTAGGGTCCTTTGCAATTGCTGAACCCTAAACCCTAAACCCTAAATAACCCTAAACCCTAAACCCTAAATAACCCTAAACCCTAAACCGTTTTCTTTATGAGGACCTGGAGGTATGGGGCTTAGGGGTTTAGGGCTTCGGCGTCTGGGGCCTTCAGGGTTCTCTTGATGAGGATAGGGTTTAGGGTTTAGGGTTTAGGGTTTAGGGTTTAGGGCCCTAAAAGTCCAAGTAGTCCTTTTTTATGGTTCTTGGTACCTAATAATAAGGCCCTAAAGTCCTATAATAGGGAGTACTTGGACCCTTAGGGTACAAAGGGCGCTTAGGGTTTAGGGCTTGGGGTTTAGGGTATCCGTTCACGTTCCTTGCTGCTTCTCCGCAAGGGCCTCCAGTGGGTCCAATTTTTGATAGAGTTCAGCGAAGTACAGGTCGACTACAGAGGGCTGAGGAAGTTGCAATCGTATCCCCAATAGTCCCTAATATACCTATGCCAGAATATAGCCCCCTACGAAACATATGATGATGATGGTGATGTTGATGATGATATGATGATGATGATGATGAAAGGATGATGATGATGATGATGACGACGACGGCGACTTCAGTCTTACTTTCTTGTTGTAGCACAAAGCCATAGACCAGTCTACATACCTGCTTTGCCTGCTACTGTGACGGTCTTGAAATGTCACTTGGTGATCAAAATTAAAAATGTCTAGTGCTAGGACTGGTATCTGCGATCCATGCTTTAGTTCTTGCGGCATTGCCGGCGTCGTCCTGAGGCTTGGTGCGGGCGAAGCCACCCAAAAGGTGCACGCGACACCAGCGAGCTGTAGCCAAGGCCGAGATAGCTTTAAAAGCCTCAAGGACAATTGTGGGCTCCATTTTTGTGATCGCTTTGCTTCGGGCGAAAGTAGCGGTTAGGCCGCTCTTCAGATCCTTACCCCACGTCTTGTTAAACTCTGGCGAGCCCACCATGATTGGTGCCGCTACCTTTCCACAAAAGGCGGCTACCGTTCCGATAACTGCTATCCTCCACGCGAGTTTGCGGTCGGCGACGCCAACGCCTGATTCCGAGAGGATTCTCTCGGTGATGGCGTAGTTAGCCTCCAAGCAAGCTGCGCTACCGGGTTGCCTATTGAAGAAGTTGATGATGATGATTATTGTTTCTAATTATCATGAAGAGATATAACAGACCCCGAAACCCTACGCAAAGTATCAAGGCCCCCTACAACATCATATTGTTCTTGCTCTTGGGGCCTTTCTGTTTCGATTTTCCGGGCTTAGAGTTTAAGACTTGAAGTTTAATGCTTAGGGCTTTGGGGTTTGGGGATCTAGGGCGTTTAGGGTGTTGGGTTTTGGTTTTAGGGCTCTGTTTTAAGGTGTAGCGATTACGGTCTGTCAAGGAAAGAATGTTGAGTATAGGTAAAAAGAGCAGTCGAGGTCCAGGAGGCCCTCTGAACCCGCCTCAACAGCCCAATAACCGAAACAATGCATTCCAAAGGCCCTGAAGTCTACATATAATGCTTACAGTAACCTATAGCTAAGCTAATTGGGCAAACACTATTCCAAAGGCCCTGAAGTCTACCATAATGCTTACAGTAACCAATAGCTAATCGGGCAATTTATGCTTCCTTCGGGCTGTTTTGGAACCCCAGGGGTCTGGTGGGAGCCACAAGTTCCATGAGCCCCAAAGTACCTATATAGGGACTACATTAAGGCCAATGTATATACTATATGAGCACATGGACCCTTAGGGATACACTTACCGCTGCAACTTTGGGGTGCTGCATTCTACACTCGAACACCACACACACACACACACCCACACACACACACACACACACACACACACACACACACACACACACACACTAGTTCTAGACCTACTTCAAGTACTGACGAACCCTAATTCGTTCTTTTCAAGACTTCCATGGGTTTACGGTATAGGGCCACGGACAGAAAACACAATTTGCGCGGACCTGTCGGAGATGTCGAGACTTGCTGGTGGATGCCTCGGTTAAGGGTCCAGGGCCTTGGGGCACGAAAGGGAGCGTAGAGTTGTGGTCTTTGGGGTTCCTTTACAGCTTCCTTGAAACGTTCCTTTCATGTTAGACTTCTTAATCATTTTCTTCAGGGTGAAAGAGACTTTAGTGTAATGGCGTTCTGCTTTCGTCCCAAACCTGTTCGTCGTCAGCTTTGTGTTGTGTCCCCCCTACCCTTAAGCCTTGACCCTAAAACCTAACCAAATTTCTGAAACCCGACAAACCACTGCACGCCAAAATACCTGAAGCGCTAAGCACCATGGCCATTCGGGCCTTCCGTGAACTAAAAGTGTGTTTCCGAAAATAGGGGGCACTAATATAGCACCCTAAATAGTAGGATCCTTTTTATACGGACACCAAAATAAGGTACCCCTAATTTCGGAAACTCCCAAATGTTCTGACTTCTGCAGGGAGGGTTTTAGCTTTGTAGGGCTTAAACGGCTCAGTTGAGCTCTTGGGATTAGGGGGTTTGAGGGTTCCTGTGGTTGAGGGTTTAGGTTGAAGTTTATAGCCAAGCCTCGAAACCCTTAAGTAATCATGATAGGTTAAATCCCCAACCCCTAAAACCTCTTCTTCGATTTTGTTAACTAAAAAGCTGTACATGCCACAACCTGAAACTCTAAACCCACATTCGCCATCTCAAGACTTCGTAGTTGCTGGACCAAGTACAGACATCCAAGGCTTCTAGGGTAGTAGTTTGAAGCCTTGAAGCACTTTAAAGCCCAAGGAGACCAGGAACCGCAAGTAGTCCCTGAACCTGAGCCTGGTACCCTGAACCTGATGCTCGGGCTTGCATGCTCGCTCTCTCAATTGGACGGCCGCCAACAGAAAAGCTGTTGTACACAAGCCTATCATGGGACAAAAGATGCTAACGTTTGATCCTCGTTGGCAATGTCGGCCCTTCCCTAAACTCTAGACGCTCAATGCCATCCGCAAATCCCAAACTCTTGTGCCTGCACCTGACACGAAACAACTGTGACTTGTACACCCACACGCAACCCATGCCCAATTTGTAAGACGTACAGCCTACAGGTCCTTAAGCCTGTCAGCCCTGGACCCTCAGACCCTAAAACTTACTCGCAAGCCCTAAGCAACCATAGATCATAAAGGCAAAAACCCTAAGCCCTAAACCCCCTAATCCCCCTGGAACCCTCAAATCCCCAAAAAAGCGCTCTGACTTTTTGAGAGCCCAGGTGCACTGGCATGCACTCCCCGGGCTCCAGTCGAATCTCCACCTGCTGAGTCGACTCTCGGCTCCGAAAGCCTACTGGGTAAAACAAGGGGCCTTAACTTACCTATACTGAATTTAGAACCCTAGCAACAATTATAATTTTAGCTGTTTCTTCGGTATTATAATAACCAAAAATCAAGAATTGTTTCTAAGTACCCTCAAGTATTAGAACCTCAATAAGCCACAGACATACGAGGTTAAACTTTCCGATTCCTACTAAACGTTGAGGGTTAGGTATTGGGGGTCTTTGTTAATAATTGCTTATTCTGAAGAGGCTTCCTTTGAAGGGCTACTAGGTATACTATCCGGGATATTATAGATATATAGTAATTAAAGGGGCCTTATATGCTTGTTTGGTGGCTCCTTTTTGTACTTAGAATGTAATATACCACCCAAAACCCTACTCTCATTATTAATGCCCCTGAAGTAGGTCTCTAACTTAAGGTCCCTGTATGGGGACCTTCTTTATAACAATGCCGTGCAAAAAAAAAAACAACAATAACAAAACAACAAACACAAAACACGGTGCTGAAAGCCCCGATTCATTAAACACATCTGGCTCCTGAACCCTGGATCCGCGTAACACTCCGACATCCCCAAACATATGGGTGGGCAAAATCAGGATCCCTTTTCGTTTCCCTATTATAGTGCGGCACCTAATAGTTAGGGTTCCCAAAAAGGGGTCATCATTTTGATAGCCACACATCTAAATCCATAAGAACAAACTTTCAGAAACCCTCATGATCACTTAGCAGCACCCAACTGTAAAACAGTTCAAAACAAACAACCTACCTGTTCAGGGCTCTGATTCCTAAGCCCGAAACACCTCCAGCCCTAGACCTCAAACCCCTAAAGCTCTAAACCCTAAACTCTAAACCCCCAAACCCTAAGCCCTAAACCCCTTCAGCCCTGAACCCTATAAACCCCTAAAGTCGTTTCCCCAAGACCCTAAACCCCTGAATCCCTAAAGCCCTAAACTCTTGCCTCTGCTGGGCTCCCTTCGAAACCGAGCTCAATGGCATGCTCCAGCTCGGACCTTAGGATGTTTAGGGTTTGGGGTTCAGGGTTTGGGGTTTCGGGGTTTCGGGGTTAGGGTCTAGTGTTTTGGGGTTAGGGGTTTAGGGTGTAGATTTTAGGAGGGTTCAGAGTTCAGGGGTTCAGGGGTTAGGGGCTTAGGAGTTAGAGTTTTGGATTTGGAGGAGTTACGGCGTATGGTTTAGAGGTTTGAAGGTTTTCGGGCTTAGGGCTTAGGGTTTAGAGGCTTAGGTGTTAGGGTTTGGGGCTTAGGGTTTGGAGGCTTAGGTGTTAGGGCTTAGGGCTTAGGGTTTCGGGTGTTAGGGCTTATAGGGTTTAGAGGTTCAGGCGTGAGGGTTTAGGGTTTAATGTCCTTCTGGGCTGACCTCTGTGTCCAAGTACTGCGAGCATCCTGGGAGATTTCTATTGCCTCTCTTCTTCAGCAACCGGGCCCAAAAAGTTCAATCTGTCTAGGATAGAGATGATATATAAGGCCAAAAAGTTTAAAGTTCCCCTGCTCACTATCTTAGTTGCTGCTTCGATGCTTTCTGAATGTTGCTCCCGGATCCTTCCTGCAGCTCCTTGATCTGATTGCTCGCTGTTCCCAACGCCATTTGCGATGGGGTTTAGGGTTTAGGGAATGCCGCCTTCGCATTCAGCCGGTTGCTTTGTCGCTCTTGACCAGATGGGCCTGATATGTTTTGTCGCCGCCTGTTGTGGTTGGCGTTCCTTTGCTGCCGCGTCAGCGCCGGTGTCTGCCATGTGCCTATCCTAAGCCCAAGAGCCATGTACGGCCTATTTGGGTAGTTGTCAAAATTAGGCTCCCTGTTTGGGTCCCTAATATAATACGGCACCTAATGTTTAGTGTACCCAAAAAGGGACCATCATTTTGACAACCACCCATTAGGATCCTTGCGCCCCTACAGCCCTTCAACGACCTCCGCAATTACCGTTCCTTTAAACACCTTCCCAAAGCCCTAGAAACCCCCCAGCACTCTCTTACAAAAAAGTTACCATGTGGATCCTAACCCACGAACCCGTAGCCCTAAACCATAATCCCCGAGCCCTGAACCCAAACCCCAGTGCCCTTCTAGGTCCCTGTCAAAGGAACTGTCAAAGGAACCCTTATGGTAAGCCTTATCTATTAAAGGGATGTTTCAAAGAACCCTACAAACCTCAATCCCCTTTCGATCCCGTATAAAACGGAACCCTCGAAGCCCTAAACGCTAATCCCCTTTAGAGCCCTCATAGACCGAGATCCCTTTAAAGGAGCACTCATAGTAACCCTTACAGATCCCTTTGTTAACGTCCCTAAAGGGCCCTCAAGGAGAGCAGGGACGTGCCAAGTTCGGTACTTCACGAAATACCGCGGAAAGAGGCTCAACACCTGATTTCGGGGCCTTACTGTTCTTTTAGGGTTTTCACGGATTGGATTTAGGGTTTAGGGTTGCGTGCAATGCTTTAGGGTTCAGGGTCTAGGTTTTTTCAACTGCAGTGCTTTAGGGTTTAGGTGCTTTTAGTGCAGTGGTTTAGGGCTCTTCCAAGGCTTCCTGGAAGACTAGGGCTCTTTAAAAGCTTCCTTGAAGGGATGCTGGAAGGGTTCGGGTTTCAGGATGTTACCATAACGGGTTATTCATGGAGGTTTCTGTGGAACAAGAACGGTGAGAATCTGGTTTTGCAGCATACTTCACTGTACTTAGGAGCTCTCGGGACTTATTGTGCTGCTATGTGCGCAGGCTCCTACATTTGTCGCTGGTCTTGTCTAGGGCTTGCGTGCACTTGACATTAGTGGCGGGTCTTGTCTAGGGCTTGTTTGCACTTGAAGACCTAGGGTCTAGAGTGGTGTGTAGGGCTTGGGGGGTTTAGCGGAGTGTAGGCTTGCCCTAGATCCGGTATCCCAACTCATAAGATAGTCGCAGTGGTAATACAATAACCCTAAACCCTAGAATCTAAACCCCTAACCCCTACAAACCCTGACTGCTCGAAACGGGTTGTCTCTTCGGCAAGGCCCTGCATGTACCGAAAGTCCCTGGTTGGCGAGCGAATGGTACAGACCTTACATGGGAGTTTCCGGAAATAGGGGACCCCAATATAGTACCCTAAATAGTAGGACCCTTATTATTTATACGGACACAAAATATGGTGCCCCTAATTTTCGGAAACTCCCAAATGACAGGATCCTTTGGCTGAGGCGTCCCAATCTGCCACAGCAGGAGAAACCTTGTACACCCCGAACACGAACCCCAAATCCACAACACAGAAGGGGTGAAGCCCTTTTTGCAGCGTGTGTTTTGGACACGGGTGTAAGTCGTGGCATACCTAATACCTAAACCCTCACACTTAGATCCTAACTCCTAAACCCTAAACCCTAATCCCTAGACCCTAACCCCGAAAAGAGAAACCTTGATTCCAAAAAGCCCTAATAACCCCTAAACCCTAAACCCTAAATCCTAGACCCTAAATCCTAAACCCTAAATCCTAAACCCTAAATTATCCTAAACCCTAAATCAGAAACCCGGATGCCAAAAAAAACCTACTATAATCCCTAAACCCTAAACCGGTAGAAGGCACCTTCGTCCTCCGCAAGGGCGCGGCTGCAGTCCTGTCTGCTTGGAACGTTACCCCCTACTTGGAGGGTCGGGGGACTTAGTAACTGGTTATTTTAGGGGACTTATAAGTACCATAACCCCAATTAGGGTCCCTTTTAGGGTACCTATAAGTCTACTTGCTACCTACTTGCTAAGTCCCCGGACCCTCCAAGTACGGCTCCCCAGCAGCAGAACCACAAGCGTCCTAGGTAACCTTGAAGGTACTGTAGGGTTTGGAGGGTGCCAAGATAGTACCTTCGAGGGCTTCCTATATAAAGGTATTTCAAGGCCAAAGTTCGTATATAGTATACAGGTAGATGGAGCCTTAAGCAGATTGGCCCAAAGCCTTCTTTTTCCGCCTTCTGTTCTTGAATTTGTACTTTGATGATCTTCAACATGCCTGAGGTGAGGACTAGTTTGAAACGAACATATTCGGGATCCCAACATGATTGAAGGAATAGCGCACTGAAAGTTGAGGCATATTGAACCATCCGGGCTTGCAAAAGCCTACCCGAATCCCGAACCCTCCCAACCCTCAGCCCAACAAAACTTACCAACACAAAATAAACCCTATAGGAGACGTGTTCCCAGATGCTCCCAACTGAGGAAAATACCGTGAATTGTGGGAGGTTCCATAGTACGATTTAAGGGAGCTGAACCCAAGATACAAGTAGGGTTTCGGGTACCGCAAACCACTGAAAAAAACAAAAGAAGTCTGAACCCGAGCGGCTAAAACCCCCCCCTAAACCCTAAATCCTAAACCCCCAAACCCTAACCCCTAAACCCCGAAACCCTGAAGCAGCCGGTGTCCTCACGCACGTGCCAAAGGAGAGGCTGTCCACGAGCAGCCCTGGCATTGAGGGTCCGGGGGCGCAACTCTAACCCAGGCTCTGAGCTCGAAGCACTAGAATTAAGGGTCCAAGTGCCGAATTATCATATACGATCAAAAACAGTAACCTACATATTACATAACTACTATCCCAAACCCGAGTACCTAAATTATCGGGTCCTTTGGACCATCCTCAAATCCAGAGCCATACGCCCAAACCCGCAATCTGAAGTCCCGACATTTTGAGCTCTAAACCCGCTAATGTAGGAACCCGATCAATTAAGAAACCTTGGCTCTTTATTAGGGTACCTTACATGAATCCTAATGTATTGGTGGTTATAGGGCCAGGGTCTCTTAATCAGGCTCCTACATTACATCATTTACAGCGCTAACCTTTAAACCCTGAAATGGTTCCTAAAGCCCTACACTCTAGAACTTATCAGACTCTGTGCAGAACTCCAAACGGTTGAAAGGCCCTGAAAACCTTGTATACGCACATGCACGACCCAAACAACCCTAAGCCCCAAACCCCACACCCAAAATCTACATCTAAAACCCTATGACTATACTAATAATGCCCCAAAGCCCTAAAACCCTAAATCCCTAAAACCCCAGAAACACTAAAACCCATAGCCATCGCGACCTCTTAGCACCGGAATGCGACGGCGTGTGCGAAGGCCCGGGCTGCCCTCGGCTTGTGCTTTCTTTTAGGGTTTTTTCAGTTAGGGCTGAGGGTGTAGGGTTTAGGATTTGGGGTTGGGGGTTTAGGGTTTAGGGTTTTGGGCTTAGGGTTTAGGGCTTACGGTTTGGGGTTTGGAGCTTTGGGCTTGCGATTTAGGGCCTACGGCTGAAGGCTTTGGGTTGAGGAATTTCGGCTGAGGGTCTGGGAGCTTTCCTCAGTTAGAAAGATGAAACGAGGACCCCAGGTTCTTTGGTTTGCTGTTTCATTAGGCTTAGGGTCTACGGTTTAGGGGTTGTGCGGTTAGGGTTTAGGGTTACCGGTTTTGGGTTTAGGGTTGCGGGGTTAGGGTTTACGGTTAACGGTTTAGGGTTTTTGGGGTTTTTTGAATTGAAGTTGCGAGTTCTGGTGCCCTTAAAGCAAACCTTAGGTTCTTGGACCCCCCAACTACCCTCTCATATACCCTAAAGACCCACTCTTAAGGACCATAAGGGCTCCATTAAAGGGCCTTTGGGGGGGGTCCTGGTTTAGGATCAGGCATAAGACTTGTTCGTTGTTTTTGGGTCGCGTGTCGGAGCTTAGGATGCTCGAGAGTTGGCTTGAGAGAGTTGGGCTCTAGCATTTTTTTCGGACCTTTAATTCATACTGTTGATGATAAAAACCCTGCATTACCTTAAGGACCCTAACCTATGGGATGTATGGTATATTCCTTATTATTGGTAAAGCAGGGTTTTGTATCATCAACGGTAGGGAAATTTCAGAGGGTAGGAGGAAGAAGCCTGAACAGTCAGAAATACGCAACCCTAGGGCTCCCTGTTCTACCCATACCATACCGTGTCTGCCACAGCATAAACTCGTGTACGAGTGGTGCAGCAAGCCCGGGGCACTGGCCAGGAGTTTCTCAACCAAATCACGTGCTCCTGCAGCACCCAAGATCCAACGAGATTCGACGCACAGCAGTTTCTCCAGGCTCGAAGTCGTGGCTCCGAGAATCCGTTTCGTGGGGGCCCAAGGGCTCCGTCTCAGCAACCAGCGCCCTTGAATCGGGTCCGCTTAAGCCGGATCTCCTGGGACCAACCGCATTCCAAAGCATGTCGCCTCCGCAAAGACTTTCGGTGATGTTCAGCTTCGAGATAGTATCCCCCTCCCCCTCCCCCTCCTCCTCCCCTCGTAAGGGCCCCTATGATAGATGGAGCATAGGGTTGTGTAGGGAATTGAAAGTTCCTGCTAGAGTTATAGTATAAACACCTTATAATTTCTAGGCTTGAGTTTAGAGTGTAGTTTTGTTGTCAAACCTTTACTCTCTGGCGGCCTGAGCATTTGGCCAGGAATTTGGTCAGGCTTTCAACGTATTTCTGGATGGGCATGACGCAAGCAGAAGACACCTAGAGGCTTCATAAGTACTACCATTGTGGAAATAAGGCACAGAAGATCCTCTTGACTGTGGCTGATATGACCGACTTACTGTGTCTAACCCTTAACCCTAAATCTAATTTGTTTGATGGGGAACTCTCTGAACTTTGGTGCTGTCGCCAGCTCTGCAAACAGGCCACCAAAATAGTATAGTTAATTTGGGCTTCTACCCTAAGGCTCCAAAGTAGTTCCTTTTTGGGGTTCATATTTAGAATCCTATAAGTTAATCCCAAAAAGGAGCTACTTTGGAGCCTCTGGGTATAGTAGAGTCGAGCAGATGCCTTTTCAAGACACAAGGCTCCAAACAGCCCACCCCCCTACACCAAAACCCGAAACGAGTCAAGCCCACGACTCGCCCTGAAACCCAGATCCCTCTACCTTAAACTCCCTTAAACCACTAACCCTCTTTCCTAACCCTAACCCCTAAACCTTCATTTTCGAAGCCTACCAGACCCTTGGGCTCCAGTTACCTACATAGTAGGTTACAAACATATAAAATGTATGTCAGTAACCCATTTATAGTTATCTATTTGGTAGTAGCCAGAAAGTTGGAACATCATTATCCTCATGCCCTTAAGGTAAAGTATAAGGGATCCTAGCACTGATCCTCCTCCTAAAGCAACGTTCCAACTTTCTGGCTTCTACTGTAAATCCCTAACCCCTAAACCAACACCATCCCTAAACCCTAAAATCGTATAGATCCCTTATAGATCCCTTTAAAGAACCCCTAAACCCTAAATCCCTAAACCAACACCAGCAGTAAGCTGCCTCCGATGGTGAATCCGGCAGAAGCTCCTCCAAGGGAATGGCCGGATTCCTCGGAAAAAAAACTCCGAGTCTCAAGGTATGGAAGGGTTCCTTACAGGCCTCCTCACAAAGGGGATCTATGAGGGCTCCATAAGGGAAATAAGGGGTTCAGCCAGGTTTAGGAATTTGGGGGGGGGGGGGGGTTCAGGGTTTTCGATTTGGGGTTTAGGGTTTTTTGGGGTTTTCGGCTCAAGGTTCAGGGTTTAGGAATTTCCAGTGTTTGAGGGCTTAAGAATGAAGGTTTAGGGTTTAGGGTTTAGGGATTCTGAAGATGTCAAAGCTCCTAAACCTACCCAAAGACGAGACCTCATACTCTAGGCGGTTCAAGGTTTAGGGTTTAGCGGTTTAGGGTTTAGGGGTTTACCTATAGTCTCCATTGTAGTTCCTTTTATTGGTTTAACCAATTCTATATTAGGGATCCTAAAATGTAACCCCAAAAAGGAACTACAATGGAGACTATAGGTAAGGTTTAGGGATAAGCCACGAACATCTGGGAGGCTTGATCCGGAAGCTCCTGCCCTAAAGCCACACTGAAAGAAGCCCCAATCCCCAATGTCCCGAAACGTGTACACTTTCAGTTTTATAGTGGGTAATATTATCCCAAAAAGTGTAAAGTGTATCCACTCAGCTACTAAGCCAATCACACTAGGGATAAGCGTCTTGGATGCTTGCCTCGGGTTGGGGGTTGGGCTGGGGGCTGGGCTCGGCGCTTGGCGTTATTCGTTGGGTCGGGGACTTCGCGAGTAATTAGTTGCTTTGTAGAGTTATACGTATCGCAGTCCCAAGTGAAATCCATTTTAGGGTGCTGATAACATAACTACACTATTACACCTACTTCCTAAGTCCCGCGACCCTGCAAGTAGGGAGCTAAACCCCAAAACCCAAAACCCTAAACCCCTGAACCGTAAACCCAAAGCCCTAGAAAACCGAAGCCCTAAACTCTAAACCTTTTGCCAACTTCCGAGCTACATGTGCCACCCCGCGGTGGCAGCAAGTGGACAGTGGAGCTGCCCAAAAAACAAGCAGCGACCGGCCAGACGTTTCAGTTCTTGTTGTTGCTTCTGTCTACCCTAAGGCCCCAAAGTAGTTCCTTTTGGGGTTCATATATAGAATCCTATAAGGGAATCCTAAAAAGGAACTACTTTGGGGCCTATGGATAGGGGTCGGACTAACCCAAATACCTAGTATTCATGGGTTTCTATCAGGCTTATATGCAGGAGTTGTACGGCTACTAGAAGGGCTGCATCGGGCATTTATGGAGCAGAACGAGCATAATTCTCCCGGGCTGCAAACCTCCAGTACCACTACTTTCCTACACTTTCGCACCTGGTTATCTTAGTCGCTGCATCGTTTGAGCCCGATACTTACCGTTGGTTAGTAGGGAATGGAAGAATGGTAATAATAGTAGTTATAATTGTACCCCGTTCCTCCATTCCCTACTAACCAAAGGTAAGGTTATGGCAAGGTACCAGAAAACCTCAGTTCAGAGTGTGCAACTATGGAGTTGAGGGCTCACAAGGTTTAGGGCTTTGAAGTCTACCTATAGTCTCCATTGTAATTCCTTTTTGGGGTACCTTTTAGGATCCCTAAGCTAGAATTGGTTAAACCAAAACTAGGAACTTCAATGGAGACTATAGGTAGCTTGTAGAATTTCGGGCTGTAGGGGTTTAAGGCTCAGGGCTTCGACGGCGCCGCTCAGCCGTCGCCACTTGTTCGCAAGGCGCAAAACCCAGAGAGACGCAAGTACCCGACACCTCGGTCCCGAACCCACAGGCTCCAGGGACTCATGTTTGAACGGTTTAGGGTTTAGGGGTTTAGGGTCTAGGGGTTTAGGGATTAAGGGTTTAGGAGTTTAGGGTTTAGGGGACCATGCCATACCGCATATGGCCGTTAAGGTAACCCTACACCCGAAATTGCTAAACCCACATGAACTGACAACTACAGCCTATTTCCCGAACCCAAACATAACTCTCAAACTCAAAACCGGTAAACCCAACCCCGGAAAACGGAGACCCTGTAACCTTATAGAAGCACTACCCTAAACATGCATGTACCCATAGAGTACACCATATATATATATATATATATATATATATACACACACACATACTATGCGTAATATACACACAGACATACAAACAAATGTACGTAGTACATACATAGATACATAGATATACTATATGATATGACTATACAGGTACATGGAACAACTGGGGCTGTAAAACCTGTTGCAGAAACTCAACTATCAAGTTTTATATAGCAACCAAACAAACCTTGTGACACGCAAGGCTCTAACAAAAACACTGTAAAGTATCTGGGTATCGGGTCTTTTGGCCCCTTCGGGCAAAACAGATTCGCTGGACCTCGCCCACGTGCTTTCAGCAAGGGAAGATCGCATACATAAGTAAGCCATGAACTACCCCATCATACACCCTGCCACATAAATCCGTTAAGTCTAAACTCTAAACCTTAAGACCCTATACATCCTTCTGGAATCGTTGAACTCTGACTTGGGTTTCGGTAGCCTTAGCGAAACCCAAACCTGGACCATAAATCCTTCCCTGTACTCTGTAGGTCTGACCCTGGCAGAAGCCCAAACCTAGACACTAAACTTAAACCTGGGCGGAAGCTGTCCATGGTTTCGGCGAATGGGGTTTAGGGTTTAGGGAAAACCCTAAATACCCCTAAGCCCTAAACCTGAAACCACGGACAGCTTGAGCTCAGCTTGGGGTCAGGTGTAAGTTCGGTCTGGGGTTTCGTGTAGGGGCCTTCAAAGAATTACGATATGGTGTTGGGAGCTACTAGAGTACAAAAATTCCCTAAAATAACTAGCCAGGTTTCTGAATTGAGCTTAACGCTGAAGGGGCTTTTTCTGTTGAGGTTCAGGGTTTAGGTTCGGGGTCTGGATGGAGGGTGTAATCCAGGTATCTACAGTTGAGGGTTAGTTTAGAGTCTAAGGTATAGCGATCGCTTCAGCAACTTACTGAACATCAGGCGCTATGTCCAGACAAGGCGAACGTCGCCCAGCAGGTTCATTTGCATCCTGCTTAAACGCATTGAACCCCAAAACTTAAAACCGCAAACTATAAACCCTAAACCCAAGCCCTTAAACTTGAAGACAAAACCCCAAACCACTGCAGATCCCATCAACCGGAGGGTCTGTAGTTTATGGCCTCATAAGAGGCACTTCATCTCGCTACGCAGCCTCCAACCTTACTTGCCCAGGCACGCTGGAGGAACTAAAGGATTGCATTTTCGGAATATATGGCCCCAACAAGGTTGAAGTTTACCTACCCTACTAATTACCCGCATTCAGGCTATACTCCGACAACGTGGCGCTCTGAAGTGAGTCATCACTTATGGGTCATGTTCGCAGTGCATTAGTCTCATATTTCTGCACAGCCTAGGGGTGAAGGAGGAACCGCCTCAGCCCCCAAAACTCTGAAATCTCAATCTTTAACCCTTATGTAGGGGCCTTAATGATTGGAATAGGGTTTGGGGCCCCTTTTCTAGTATACTTATAATAAGGAACCCTAAGGAAAAAAAATCCTGTTCATTGCTTAGCCTTCTATATCTGGGTTGCAGTTTTAGGGCTCTGAAGAGTATTTATGAATAGGTACTGTTATAGGAACCATAAGGGAAATTGAAAAAGGTTCCCAAATTGCCACCTTGATATTGACTTTCCAATTGGAGCGGTCTGCGGGCTCGATGAGGATAGTTCGAAAGCTCTACGCAGTCTTGCCACCTTGGGTGGCAAGCGCGGGGCTGCAACCGGAAAATGCAGCCTACCCTGACCCGAAGCGGGATACTGCTGGCATCGGGGAACGGCAAGCACAGAAGAATCAAATGCAGCACACAACACTGAACCCTGAACTCAAAACAGTCTTTTACATGTGCTGCGCCACTGTTTTACCTACTTTTCAGGGTTTCGGTAGCCGTTGCATTGCATGTGGCTTCACGATATGAGGCCTTGCGTCACTCCAGAAAGGTCCAGGTTGTCCGGCAGTTGCTTAACATTGGGATGCCCTCTAAAGGAACCCTTATAGATTCCTTAAAAAGGAGCCCTTCTAGATCCCTTCAAGAAGTAATAACAGGAACTCTTACAGATCCCTTTCAAGGAGCCCTTGTAAATCCCTTAAACAAACCCTTAAAGGACCCCTATACAAGGGTCCTCGGTCTCCACCGGGATAGAAGATTCTGGACACGAAACCTCACCGCTCAGAAGTCTGTTTTCAAGACCCCAAACAACCCCGAAACCACAAGCCCACAATGCTACAAGGCACCAATGTAGGGGCCTTAGTGATTAGAATAGGGCTTCGTGGTATACTCTACTATACTTGTAATAAGGAACCCCTACAATAACGTTGGTAATTATTCAGGCCCCTATATCAAATCCTACAAGGCAATACACCCTAAAGCCCAAACCCTGAACCTTGACGATTAGAGCCTTAGAGTTGCAAGCACACCTTGTTTTTGGGGGAATATAGAGCTTCCTTGCAGTTGTATAGGCCGTTTCAGGGGATAGTGAGAAGGAGTAGCAGTAGCAGCAGCAGTAGCAGAGTAAAAGTAGCCGTAGCAGTCGTTGTGGTAGTGGTTGTAGGGCTTTGATTTAAGTCTGGGGGAATTGACCGGAAGACGAGCTCCGTCTGTTCCCCTGAGGCGCTGAAGTCGTGCTCCCCCTACGAGGGACGGTCTTGGCGGGCGAAGCACCAGCGACTGCAACTGCCATCTTTGACAAGCTTTATAAGTTTAGGGTTTAGGGTTGAGGGCTTTATCCCCCAAAGGATAAAGTCATTACATACGTGGGCGGGAAGGGGGAGGAGGAATAACACCACACATGATGTACAAAGTTCTTCCCAAGGCATTGAACCACGCAGCCATATCCCCGGAACCTCTGAACCCTAAACACAAAACCCAAACACCTAAAATCGACTTTGTACCAGCTATTTAGGAACCACCGAGATGGAGGACAAGGCCCTTGCGACTTAAGGGACATCTCACATAGACCGGGCTTACAGAGTCTTATTGGGTTTGCAGACCTTATACTCTAGGACAAAACCCTAAACCCTCAAGACCTAAACCGTTTAAACCTGAAGACCCTACAACCCCAAATCCCAGAACAGGTTTTCGCAACTAAGTTACACAGTAAGCCAGTAATGATAACGGCTTTCCTACGAACAAAGGTAGATTTAATTCAGGGTATAGGGCTCAAACTCAGGCTAAGAATTAGGGTTTTGGGCTTGAAACCAAAACCCTAAACCTAAGCCATAACCTCGGAGCTGTGTCGGAAACCCAGGGGCAGGTCATGCTTAACAGATGATGGAGCTTCAGGGTGTACCTATAGTCTCCATTGTAGTTCCTTTTTGGGGTTACCGTTTAGGATCCCTAAAATAGAATTGGTTAAACCAAAAAAGGAATAACAATGGAGACTATAGGTAGGTTTAGGGTCGAGGGTTTACGGTTTAGGGGGGGTCCTAGGCCATTGGCGCAACAAGTATACAAAGATTGCAAGCTGCAAGCTCAGCTTAGAAAGACATTGAACATGCAGGAGTACTCGAATGCCTTCAGCCGTAAAGCTCCACATCCCGAATACTAAACCCTAAACCCTGGATCCTAAACCTTCAGGACCTCAACCCCGAACCTTAAACCCTGAGTCCTAAATCCAAAACCAACCCTGAAATCTTATGTAAACGCTCAAACCCTACATGCAAAGGCTGTGCTCCGCCCGACTCCGCCCCTGAAGCAGACGTTTCCTAACTAACATCCACGGCTGCGAGTCGGGACTGGCCACGAGGGCTCTGTGTGCCGACTCTCAGGCTCGGCAATATAGAGGCCTGATTCAGAGCTTAGGGTTTAGGGCTTTGAAACGTACTATACTGAACTTAGAACCCTAGCAAATATTCAAATTTTAGCTGTTTCTTAGGGATTATAATAACAATATTTCTAAGTACCCCTAAGCGTAGGCTTTTGGTGTATATCATGTGTGTAATTATTACTCAAGGAGAACTGAGCAAGAAACAGCAAGTATACACACTCAGGCCTGCATATTACGCTTGCATCACTTCGAAAATTTCGTCAGCATGAACAAATGCAGCTGTCGGCGCTGATCACCTTCCGAGTTCGGAGTTCTAGGGCTGATGATATAAATCCTGCACTACCTTAAGGGCCCTAAGCTATGGGAATTACGGTATATCCCTTATTATGGGTAATGCAGGATTTATATCATCAACCGTAGTGTTAGGGTTTAGGGGTTCAAGGCTTAGTGCTTGGTGCGAGGTTAGATGTATCCTACCGAAACACTTAGCTGCTGAAGGATGTATTAATTACAAGGGATTCATCAAGAACCCTTTCCGAAAGGTAGATTGTATCAAGAGTTCATAGCAAGGAACCCTGAAAAAGTAGGTTGTATCAGCAACTAGTAGAGTCCCTTCCGAACTCATAGTGAGGAACCTTCACAAAGGTAGGTATCACAGGGTTCTAGTTCGGGTTTACGGCTTTGGGGACCATTCTCCCTTGGATAGCCCAAGGCCTGCGGATTTGGGCGCACCCTAAACCCTCAAACCCTAACACCCGAAACTCGGAACTCCCAAGATTAAAATGAACACAAAAACTCTAAACCCTAAGCTGAAAATCCTGAACTCCTCAAACCCTAAACCCCTAAACCGAAAATCCTAAACTCCTCGAACCTAAACTCTAAACCCCTAAACCGAAATTCCTAAACTCCTCGAACCTAAACTCTAAACCCCTAAACCGAAAATCCTAAACTCCTCGACCCTGTTCTCCTATCCCCTGAACTGATATCCTTCCTTTTGCAACATCTTCGGAGGCTTTCGGGAAAAGGCTCCGGGAGGGGAGGAGCTCCTTTGTTCCTTTAAGGTAAAAGCCAGAAAGTTGGAATATGATTATCCTAACCCTTCTATGGTAAATTATAGGCTATCCTACCATGAAACCATATTCCAACTTTCTGGAGTTCCCTGTAAGAGGGTTCTGCAAGGGTGCAGGGTTTTGGGTTGAGGGTTTACCTATAGTCTCCATTGTAGTTCCTTTTTTTGGGTTTAACCAATTCTATATTAGAGATCCTAAAAGGTAACCCCCAAAAGGAGCTACAATGAAGACTATCGGTCAGGTTGAGGGTGCAAGAATTCGGGGTTTAGGGCTGAAGGTTTAGGGTTGGATTGTATAAGGGTGCTTTTTTAGGGTTCAGTAACAGTAAGGGTGACTATAAGGGTTCTGCAAAGCTAGGCATTCGATAAAGATTCCTTTAAAAGGGCTCTGCAAGGGTTGCCAGAACGACTCTTGGAGGACGAGGGACTTAGTAGGTTTTGTGACCTTGTAACATCAATAAGTACCATAACCCCAAGTCGGATCGCCGTTAAGATAGTTACAACTCTACTTATTTCCTACTCACTCAGTCCCCCGACTCTTGAAATTCAATTAGGGTTTAGAAGCAGGACGCATCTGCACGCCTGGGTATTATCGATTCAATTTTTTAAAGGGCTGATCTAGGGATCTGAATGAAAGAAGGAGTCATCGTGACTATTTCATCAACACCAGAGAACACAACTACTTTTCGGAACATATATGCAATGTATTGAAATCAAAAGATGGGACCCTAACCAAAGATGTGTGTTGGCTCAAGTAGGCTATGGTTGATTCATGATAGGTGTTGGGCTTCGCGATAGAGTTTAGGGGTTTAGCAGCAGTGACGATAAAACCTAAACACTAAGCCCTAAACCTTAAACCTCGCTGCACCAAACACTTCCAACTTCTTGGGTCAATCTGACATGCGGGAACAAGAAATGCATGTGTTTCCGATCTATTCCTCATATTGCAACTTAAAGATTACAGATCCTATTCAAAACAGCATAACTTTCTGTATCTCCAGCCCTCAACAATTTTACGGAATTTCATGAAGTTCCTGAGCAGGAAGCCAACCACCCTTACCTATAGTCTCCGTATCCTGGGAGATGCAGAAGTGAGCTGAAACTTGCTCTACAACGACCTTTTTGCCGATCATGGCAGCTGTGCTCTCGTTCGTGTCATTCTCATACCAGCCAACGCTGCCGTCGTGTTGACAAGATTCATGGGAAGGGTTCCGAATGCTGGAACCCTTTCCGAACGTCCCGAAGCGCCTCTGAAGCTCGGGGCCGAGCCGATCAAGCGGCTTGTGCCCAAGGACGAGGATCTGATTGCCGCTGAACTGGTAGGCTCAATGCTGCGACTTCGCGTCTCTGCAGTAGTGGAAGAGCCGAAGATGCTAGATCCGCGGGAGTGGAGTTCATGTCCACCATCCCTTTCAAATAACGACCTCCCACGTGCTGACTCCGAAAACGTACTCCTGCTGGACTGGAATGCGTGAAGAGTGATCCTGAGGGTGGGCTACTTCCAAAACCGGCTCCGGACGGTAGTTAGTTTTGTAGGTCACTTTAAGGGATCCTAAATTCCAAATATATACGAACTGGCTAGACCGAAAAGTGAACTACAAGGGAAACTAAGGTAGCGGAGTGGTCGGCTGTATTATAGTATACTCATAATAAGGAACACTACGAAATAAACCTAAAACCTAAATCCTCAACCCTAAATCCTAAACTCTAAAAAATCTAAACCCTAAACTCTGAGACCGCATGGACGCGGCGAATCTTGCAATCTAGCTTGTTCCTGCTTGATGACCAAAGTTTCGCAAGGCTTTGTTTTGTAAGCATTTATTCAGTATCTTAAATCCCAAACCCCAAATCCTAAACCCTAAATCCTAAGCCCTAAACCCCACATCCCAAACCCCAAATCCTAAACCCTAAATAGTCTCCTGAGGTAAGGCGTGCCTCACTGCGACGAAAGCAGTCCCAGTGCCAGCAGGGCTGGACAGGCAAGCAGCGGCAAGGAAGAAGCATCCTTGGATGTGGGGCTTAGTATAGTAGGGTGTAGGGTGCAGCATGTAAGCTTTAGGCCCTTAGGCTGTAGGGTCCGAGGTTTAGGGTTTAGGCGTCAGCAGGGTCCAGGGCAGCAGCCTAAGTATTTACGGATATGGTTCCTAGGAGCTTATACTAAAATGGACCCCCAAACCCAGCAGAATTGTTAAGGCTCCCATCGTAGTTTAGTCTCACGGCCGCTTTCCCCTTCAAACACTAAACCATACAGACCGTCGGTGATACTCTTGCTTGCAAAAAGATCCAAGCCCCTCTGATCCTGAATCTAGATGCCCAGATCGCCCATATCCTGCCAGCACCGGCATCCCCCCACCCCAACCCCAACTCCACCCTAAGCCGCCCTAGCCCGCAGACTTCATCCGAATGAGGCAAACAGCTGTGGATCACAAGACAGACTACAAGCATCCTAAGTACATATGTGGTCCTAAACCCCAAATCGCCCTGAACCCCTAAAATACCCTAACCTCCATACACCCTGAACACCAAAGCTCTGAACTCTTATGTTTACCTAAACCCCTGGTAATGTGGAGTATTGACTACTCGGCACTTGGAACCCTAAGGCCAAGGCCTACATGGGAGTTTCCGAAAATAGGGGTACCTTATTTTGGGGCCCTCATAATAAGGATCCTAGTATTTCGGGTACTATATTAGGGTCCCCTATATTCGGAAACTCCCATATCATCTATCGCTAAAACCTGCAAGCTAAATATGCCCAGGCTCTAAAGGAGCTGCTTCATGCAAGGCACTACCTATAGTCTCCATTGTAGTTCCTTTTTGGGGTTACCTTTTGGGATCTCTAATATAGAATTGGTTAAACCAAAACAAGGAACTACAATGGAGACTATAGGTAGTATGACCCTGTTTTCTACCAACTACCCTAAGGCTCCATAGTAGTTCCTTTTTGGGGTTCATATATTGAATCCTAAAAGGTAAGCCCAAAAAGGAACTAGTTTGGAGCCTCTGGGTAAGGGCCCCATACTCAACCCTCACAGTGCCCCCACTTACTAACCCTTGAGAGAATGCTGTAAAACAAAAAAAAAGGAAGGACCACTGTAGCTAGACCGTCGTTTGGGCTCTAATACTTCTCTACAACCTACCTCTGCGAGCTTTCAATCCCGAACCCTGATCGAGGTTGTCCAGCTCCTTAAATGAAGTAATCGTGAACGTTTTGGGGTTATACATTGTGCACACGGGGTTTTGGGGTTTAGGGTTTAAGGAGTTTAGGGTTATGCTGTGCTACCACCCAGAAAGTTCAAGGTTGCTCAAATCAACTCTTGCAAGCAAAAGCATCACTGGACATTCCGGTGTCTCCGCCGTCTCCACCGTCGCCGGTTCCTGCGCAGTAGCTCGAAGTACTCATAACACTTAACCCCCCCCCTGGTATACGTCTCTAACAACCACACACCACCCTAAAACTACCTATAGTCTCCATTGTAGTTCCTTGTTTTGGTTTAGCCAATTCTATATTAGAGATCCTAAAAGGTAACCCCAAAAAGGAACCACAATGGAGACTATAGGTAACCCTGAAATCCCAGGAACCCCAATTCACACCCGGAGCAGGACATTGGAAGCATTCGGGTTTAATAACAAGAGTTTAGGGCTGAAGGTTTTTGGATTTCTATGGAGGGTTTAGGGCTCCTTCGGATCTTGGTATCTGTTGATGCTGTACACTTACACATCTGCGGCGTTTGAGGTGTCGGCGTCCGGTTCTCCATAGTAACATTCTTCATGCTCATGGTCACCACAACCGAAATTTAAAAAACAAAACACATACCCTAAAGGTCCATGTGCCCAAATACGATATATTATTTTGGCCCCAAAGTACCTGTATAGGGACTACTTTAAGGCTAAAGTAACATTCACCCGTAGGGATGAGTCTAACAATAAAGTTGCAGCAGCTTCGCATTACGTTTAAGAACAGCTGCCAAAACTCAGAGGGGTCCAACTATTAGTATAGTAGAAGCCAACAAGTTGGAACATGGCTATAGGAAGATGAGTGCTGACGTTCCAACTTTCTGGCTTCTACTATAGGGTTTTGGAGCCCCCAACTACTATATCCGGTGATATTTCTGATCCCTAAGTCTCACTCTAGGGCGCTTGTTCCATTAATTAGGGACAACGAAGTTTGAGGTTTAGAACTCGCGAAGAAAGGCCGTCGTCACTCGAGAAGGGTCTTGCGAAATGTTGTCGCATAGTTTGAAGGGACATAAGGGGACACGGACACCACAACAAATTATGCCGATCCCTACTCCAAACCATGTAGCGACATAGCATAGACTTAGGCCTCAAAGTACCCATGTAGGATGCCTTTAAGGCCTATGCATATACTAGTTATATGGGCACATGGAGCCTGAGTCTATGCTGCGGTTTTTTGAGTTTCAGTCCGGACGTTGCGGTGGAGGTTGTCGTGGTGCTCGTCCGAGTAGTCCAGCCAGTCGTCTGAGCTTTTGTTGAACTTACGGCAAGGGTCCAAAGGAACCCCAATTGAGTGTTCGGCATCGGATAATAGTCATGTATTCATATCTAGGCATCGGAAAGTGGTCTATTTAGGCATCGGATAGTAGTTACGTATGTAAGCATCGGATAGTATGTTTTCAGGCACCGGATAGTAGTTATGTAGGTGGTGCTTGGACCCTCAGTGTTATGGCCTTCTCCGTTCTGCTTGGTATACGGTAGCAGGGTTTATCAAGAGCCTCCGTTCCTAAATCCTGAACGATAGGCTCCAAATATGGGGTTTCCGAAAAGAGGGGACCCCAACTATCGTACCCTAAGTATTAGGATACTTATATTATAAGGACCCTAGAGTAAGGAATCCGTATTCTCGGAGACTCCCATATAAACACAACTCTCCAACCCCACCAAACTTGCGGATAAAGCCTGGTTCGGATGAAAGGACCATCGCGGCTCTACTCTTTCAACTTAACCCTCCAGGCACCAAAAAGCAATGACTTGCGTCGAAGACATGTAAGAAACATACAGGTTTGTGGTCTACTGGGGCTTTTAAGTAACCAGTGGGAAACAAGTAGACACGCTTATTTCATAATGGTTCCTTCAAGAAAACAACGTGTTAAAGTATGGTACTCCAAAGCCCAGTATAGGAGTTGCAGTACGGAGCCCTGGAGACTATCATCACTAAACATGCAGACCCACGTATTGAAAGGTCTGCCAAAACCTCGACGCATGAATCCATATGGGTGGTTGGCAGGAGTAGGGTCTCTTTTTGGGTCCTTATTATACTACGGCACCTAGTACTTAGGGTACCCAAAAAGGGGTCATAATTTTGACAACCACCCATATGAACCCTGAAACCCCTCGAAGGCTTCGACGCAAGTGGCATGTGAGGTGATACCTGCACGTCCCACCCAGACCGCCGGGAGGATCCCAAAAGTAGATCCCTTAATGGGTGTTCCGATAAACTCCCCTTAGTAGTATAGGGCCCCAAATCCTCCGCGGGGTCTGGGCATATACCTTAGAAGGGGCCCCCACCCTGTAATAGTGACCATAAGGATTATATAGGATCATATTAGGGCCCATTGTATTCCTATTATACCACTATTACAGGGTGGGGGCAGCTTCTAACATACACCATAAGTCCGGTTCCGGATCTGAACATTTCATGATTTGCCGCTATCTGAGCTCAACCCAACCTGCCCCAGACATTCAAGACCCCAGGGTTTAGGGTTTATAGGGTTTAGGGCCAAAAGCACTGTACAGGAACCTCTTTCGGATTACATACAGAAAAAGAAGCTTGTCTCGTTTGAAAACTCGCAAGCCCAGGATCACCTGATTATGGTGGACTCCCAGTGCGGGACAAACTGGGGGCCTCAAACGGTGGGAGGAAGGTAGGTGTAATAGGAGTAATAGTAGTAATAGTAGTACTAGTAGTAGTAGTAGTAGTAGTAGTAGTAGTAGTAGTAGTAGTAGTAGTAGTAGTAGTAGTAGTAGTAGTAGTAGTGGTAGTAGTTATAGTAGTTATAGTAGTAACAATAGTAATAATTATAGTAGTAATAGTAGTAATAATAGTAATAGTAGTAATAGTAGCAATAGTAGGAGAGAGGCCTAAGGATCCTCTCTAAAGTGACTCTCGAGGCTTTACGGTTTTGATGTTCAGGGTTCAGGGGCTTAGAGTTTAGAGGTTTCGCGGTTTAGGCAGTCTTGTTGAAGAATACCCAACCTAACTTTACCTCACCTCGCCTCTTGAAGCTGCAATAAGCCTGAATCATTTCCGGACTTCCCGGTTGTGTCATTCCTTAACAGTTCCTTATTATGGTTGTATCTGTAATGGAAGTTCAAGCCCTGTTCAAAAGATGGAGGCCCCTACAATAGACACCAAAACCAGGATGCTCTCGACGCACCCAAGCGTTGCAACCCTCTACTAAAATTTGCTGCCGTCCCGGTAGCATTCACACCTTGGCTGCCAGAGGTGCGCTCAAGGTCACTATAGGGCTTTGCAAGTCTTGGTTCTTACTATTTAGCTTCAAGAATAACTGTGTATGATTATAACCATCGTTTGTCTACAGCTACAGATTGAACACAAATTCCCGATAACTTCCTACTTGGGCTTAAAGCCGGCGCAACTATATACACACACCCCAAATTGTTTCACACCCAAATACATTCATTGTTCAGAGACTTCGGCCACAGCCGACACCTTACACTCTAAGCTTTAACCATAGGTCCCATAGTAGTTCCTGTTTGGGATTACCTTGTAATATAGGATTCTATGTATATGAGCCCCCAAACCGGAACTTCTGTGGGGCCTCTGGGTAACCAGGGGGTAGATGGAGAGTCTAGTCGCAGTGCATGCAGTCTCCGGAGCGCTAGGGTCTGACAAGGACATCATGTGAAACCAGCAGAAAGACGCCGTGACAGAGAAAGATCGGTGATGAAGAAGCCGAAATTATGTTCATACAGCCGAAGACTTAAAATAGAAAGCCTTTACCAGAAAGGCCTGTAGAGACAGACACATATTGACACACATAACGCTTAACCCTGAAACCCTAAACGGTTTCGGGCTGTCGATTTAGAAAACTCTAAACCCTACAACCCTAAACGGTTTAGGGCTTTAGATTTCTAAACACTAAACCTTAGGCCCTAAACGGGTTTAGCGCTTTTGATTTCAATACCCTCGACCCTGCAACTTACAACCCTAAACGGTTTAGGGCTTTAGCTTTCTAAACCCTAAACCTTAAGCCCTAAACGCGTTCAGGGCTATTGATTTCTAAACCCTAAATAAACCCTACAACTTACAACCCTAAACGGTTTAGGGCTTTAGATTTCTAAACCCTAAACCTTAAGCCCCTGCCACCCGTGGGTCACCCGACCGATGGGCTGGCCCGGGGAATTCGTACTGTAGGATTTTGGGGTTCAGGGGGTTAGGGGTTTAGGGGGTTTAGGGTTTAGGGGTTTAGGTTTAGGGGTTTAGGGGTTTAGGGTTTAGGGGTCTAGGGTCTAGGGGTTTAGGGCGGGATCCCTATAAATACGTTCGCCAAAGCCCTGAACGCTAACATCGGCGACACCAACAAACGGTGAGCTAACGCCTTCTGCCTGAAGCATCGCTGAACAAAAAACAAATCCTAAACCCTAAACCCTAAGATTGCAGACCAGCCACCCATGTCGCTGAGGACCTGATAGGCTGCCTCAGAATACCTTCGCTCAGAGGCTTGCTTCTGAGGAGCCACGGCTCTGGGTTGAGGGTTTGGTTCACAGGCTGTTTGTGTGAATGCTGCTGGCCTCGACAATACGTGATGCTTTAGATTGCGCCGCATGGAAACCCCTGGTTCTAACCTCCAAGTAACCTGAGGCCCTACACCGCCAACACAAAGCCCATACACCCGGAAACCTGCTATGGATCTCACTCGTTGCTTGTCTCGCTTAAAGGATCACAGTCTAAGACCTTAAACCCTAAACACATGCTAAAGCCATCGTGCCGGAACGGGCAATCATTCTTCAGAATCCACTCCAAACCTGAAGCCTTTGATGGCCACTGGCGAAAAGAAAACCGAACCTTAAACCCCTAAACCATAAACCCCTAAACCCAAAACCCTAAAGCCCCTAAACCACAAACGCCAAAACCCTAGGCCCTAGACCCTAACGACCCTAAACCCCTAAACGTCAACCCCTAAAACCCTGAAGCCTTAAACCCCTAAACCCTAAAAACCCTAAACCCTAAAACCACGGTGCAGGAATCCCTTCCACTCGCACTGCGGCATCATCGGCCTCGGCACATAGGACCTGGCAAGGCAAGCAAGGGCTCTTTGTTATCGCTCCTTCATTGTGGGGCCTGTGGGTTTCCGGAATCACAGGCATGGTTAAATCACAAGCCCCCAAAATTTCAGCATGCGGAAACAGCAGAGCTCTCTGCAACACCTGACATGTGCGGTTAAAGCTAAGTGTTCTTGCCGACAAGGGCTTCCCAAAACAACCTTTGCATCCGAATACCTACGGTTAAAAAGGCTGAGGCCCGAAAAGTACGGGGATCACAATCAGCTTACGTGACGGGAGGTCCGAGATATAAGGGCTGACTAGTTGTGGCTATGCTAGGGTCACCGGTTGACCATTTCTGAAGTTCCCAAATCGTAAACTCAGCCTTATCATGTCCTGGCCACCACGACAAGACCTTCCTCGTTGCTAAGTACCCTAAACCCTAAACTCAAACCATTTGCACAAGCAGGCTGATTCTTCGAGGATCAAGGCCGTGCACTAAACATGCCAAATCAAAATGTGCAAAGCCCTCAACCCTGAACCCAACCACCCTCATTCTGAACGGAGACTCTCATCAGGGTGCAAACTCAGGGACGTAACCGTGCCATAGTTGTTGCACCACCTAGGGCCCCAGGGTGCGCAAAGGGCCGATTGGAGGGTCAGGATTTGTGGGGCTTGCTTTGGGAAAGCTCCTATGAGGTCGGAAACAGATTCCGAACCATGCTCCCTAAGAGTCCATGTTCCCAAAAACTACCTCCAAGTAGTCCCTATACAGGTACCTTGGGGCCAAAGTATATACTACTTGGGTACATGGGCCCTTTAGGGATTGCAGCAAGGATCAACGAAAAGGTTCCTCAGTCGCTAAGTAGTCCAAAGTAGCGTGTGTTAATGGGCTTTAGGGTTTACCCAAAGGCCCCAAAGCAGTTCCTTTTTGGGGCTCATATATAGAATCCTTTAAAGTAATCCCAAGAAGGAACTACTTTGGGGCCTATGGGTAGTCCCAGTCTAGGCTTCTGGCTCTTGTAACTATCGTCAGAGTAGGTACTTTTAGCCCCAACTGACCCCATCTGCCAAATTAAACTTGCCAGAAGGCACACCTCATTGAAAAGCCTCCTAACCCGAATCCGGAAGGGTCCACATACCTAGCTATCATATACTCTCCAAAATACTAACCTACATACATACCAACCCAAAACCGAGTACCTAACTAATAGGGTCCTGTGGACCCTGAGTGGGAAGCCCCAAAGCCCTACAAATCCCACTAGGGGCAATAGCCGGGCCCAGTAAAGCTCATGCTTTCTATCATAGACCAAATATGTAATAAGTCCAAAAGTTTAAGGCTAAATTAGTTAATATAGCGGCTTCAATAATTACCAATACTATTTTGGAGGGGGTTCCTTATTACAACTAGTTATCGTACAATGGCGCCCAAAACCCTATTCTAATTGTTCAGGCCCCTATAATAGTGAGGGTCAGCACCATCTGGCGAGATGCGTGAGTCGCCTGTCCCCTGCCGATCCCTGGATGACCTCGCGGAACGACTGTTCAGGGTCCAAGCCTTATATGGCTTAGGCTTCGGATCTGGGGTTTAGGCTTCGGATTTGGGGTTTAGGGGTCTCAAGTTGGGTTCGGTAAAACATTGAAACTTCCAGAACCCTAAACCCTAAACCCTAAACCCTAAACCCTAAACCCTAAACCCTGCTTATAAGAGTACCAAAAGTACATAAGTTGGACTTCGAACCACTAAGGTTTAGAGGCTTCCACTTTAGGGCAAGGAGCATTGGCAGTGGGTCCGAGGGCTTAGCCCCACACACATGATTGGCGGTTGTAAGGCTTATGACAGTGCCTAGACGGTTTAGAGTGTAGAGTTTAGCTTCGGGTTTTGGGGTGTAGGGGTTTAGAGGTTTAGGGTTTAGAGCCTAGGGTTTGGGGTTTAGAGTTTCGGGACCCCTGTCTTTGCAAACCGTGACTAATGCACAGTGTCAGGCTTTCTCTCTCCGGCAAGCCACCACTGCTCCTGCAGCCTCTCATGCTTAGCTCCCCAACCAAAATAAAAATCCCATTAGTGTTTAGGATTTAGGGCTTGGGGTTTAGGATTATAGGGTATAGGGTTTAGGGTGGGTCTCATGAGGTGTTAGCCACACCTCCACACCCCACTAAACCACCAAGGCGGCCCAAAACCTCAACCAACAAAGCAGACCCAAGCACCAGACCTGTAGACACACCAGAATTCTGATAAATCCCCCTTAAAAAGGAGCCCTTATAGAAACCCCTTAAACAAGAACCTACTAAAACTCTTATTATAGGCCCTTGTAGGTTCCTTGAAAGGAAGCTTATAGAACCCGCTTGTGAACCCACTTGCTAAAGGGAGCCCTGTAAAGCCCTGACAGATCCCTCAAAAGGAAGCTTAACCCTAAGCTCTGAACTCTAAACCCTAAGCCCCAATACCTAAAACCTACCCCCTCAACCCTACCTTAACCCTGAGTGAACAGGTACGTGCTTCAGGGTTAAGGTAAATCCTGGCCCAGCGCCCCCAAAACAGCCGAGAAGCCGCTTGGCTCATGTGCTGTGCAGGGTAGTAGATGAATGCCGACCAGCACATCTCCGTCCTAAAGTTTAGGCTTCCTTTTTAGGGTTTAGGTGTTCAGGGTTTAGGGTTGAGGGATTAGGGTTAACGGTTTCGGGCGTCTAAGGGATACTATAAGGGACTCAAAAAGGCTGCTAGACCATAAAGGTTTAGGGATTGTGGGGCTTATACCGGCACATCTCCGTCCTGGGCTTTGCGGTCAACGGTTTCGGGTCTGTAAGGGATACTACAGGGGCTACACAAAGGCAGCTGTACCATAAAGGTTGAGGGAATATGGAGCTTATACCAGCACATGCCCGTGATGATCCGGAGGGTTTCCGGACATCGAAAAGGGTTCAGGGTTTAGGGCTTTTAGGGCTTCGTGGGGGTTACAGTATAGGGCTTATCGAATTTGTAGGGGTAATTCGGTGTATAGGCTTACGGGTGCAAGGATTAGGGCTTAGGTGTGACCTGGTGTCACATTGCCAAGAACTTCAAACCTTGCGGTACGTCTCTTATTCCAGAGAAAGCCAAAGTGCCGGTAGGGCTTAGAGTCTTAGAGTTGAGGGTCGGTTTCGGGGCAATCATTCTACCCTAAAGACCCTATTCCAATTATTAAGGCCCCTTCTCTGTAGTCACCGTATAGATCCTTCATAGAACCCTTTCAGGAACCCTTGAAGGAGCCCAAAACCCATATTCGGTAGAGATATACTGCCAGGTAGTCAGGGCCTCTTCGGTTGCCTGACTCTCTGAAGAGCCTCAACGGCCTGGCTTACCCGAAACCAAAGGGTCCTATGTAGTGTTATGGGGAATTGTTATTGGGAATACTTCCCCAAATCATAATAGCAGTTCATAGTATAGAGACCCTACATTCTACTATATCGGTACCTTGGACCCTTTGGGGAATTACCTTGCTAACAAATTACATGCAAAAGGGAAAGCCCTACGCTGTAGAACCAAACTGAACCCTCGACACCAAACCTCAAGCCCCCAAAGCCGCTAAATGCGACCCTGAGAGCCCAAAGCAAATACGACAATATCCTGTGTAAAAGGTACTCCAAGAATGTAGAACCCTAAGAGGCTTGTGTAAAACCCTGAGGCCACTGCGGGTAAGTAAGGGTCCAAGTGGCTGTGTAAAGTCGCCGAAGGACGTTGGCGTCGATTTGCCAGAGGTGTCGTAGGCGCAGCGCAGGACGAGGTCGTCTCCTCTACAGTGCTATGAAGGGTTCGACAAGGGCTGTGAGCGTGTCTGTCGGGCTTTGGCAGGCCCGTGTGCGGCTAGAAGCTTGGATTGTGGGGATAAGGCGGTTTGGGGCTTAGGGAAGGGTTCTGGTTGCCGCGTCTAGTTTAGTTGTATTGGGCTTGTACTGTAAAGGTTAACGCCTCAATGGCTGCTGCTTCCCCAGGGAATCTTTAAATTTGCCTGAGACGAACTTAACGTTTGTCGTCGACCCGGTTCCTGCACCCTAGTGGACACTCCACGCCCCAAAGATACCGAATTTCCTCTTCTCTGTTAGAGTCCTTGCAAAAACTATCACTGCAGCGTAACCTCCTTCAACCCGGCATCCCTGACCCCTGAAACCTTAAACCCCTAGAGCTCTAAAATAAAGAATACCACTGCCGGAGGAAACCGTTACAAGCATCCGTTTTGGAAGCCCTCAAAGACCCCTTAAGGGCCCCTAAGCCCGAAAACCCCAAATCCAAGACTCGGAGCTCTCCATGCTAAGGCCCACTGAGGCTTGGGCCACGGCGGATCTTCTTCACCTCAACTTCCCCGACCCCCAGAAGGTCTTCGGGCTTTGGGTTTAGGACTCCAAGGTGTTTCGGTTTAGGGCTTATAGGGTTTAGGGTTTAGGGGTTTGGGGTTTAGGGTTCAGGGGTTTAGGGGTTTTAGGGGTTTAGGGTTTAGGGGTTTAGGGTTTAGAAGGAGATGATCAGGGTGTGTTGGGTTTAGGGGTGGGTTGGGGGGGGGGGGGGGCATCTACAAAGTCGAAGCCCGAATTTGGCACCGTAGACACGGAATGAAACAACGGGACACCCTACAGGACCTGTAAAGGAACCCTTAAAGGAAGCCAACAGAACCCATAAAGGAACCCTACAGAACCCATAGAGGACCCCTACAGAACCCTTAACGGAGCCCCGAAAGGAACCCCACAGAACCCTTAATGGAACCCGGGAGTCCAGAACCCTGGAAGGAGCCCTTAAAGGAACCCTTAAAAGCAACCCCACAGAACCCTGAAAGGAGCCCTTAAAGGAACCCTTAAAAGCAACCCCACAGAACCCTTAAAGGAGCCCTTAAAGGAGGGACCCTTAATTCCTTTGCTGCACACCAAGCGACCGAAGGTGGCTCAAGCGACTGATGGTTGAAGTCCTTGGAATGCGTTTAAGGCTTTTTTTCAGGGCCTCTGTCTATTCCGCAGATGGTCTAGAGAGCCTCGATTGAGGCAGGCCTTTGGAAAAGCAACCCTCTCTTTTAGGGCTTGGGCCTTAGGGTTTGTGGCTTTTAGGTTTTAGGGTTCGGGGTTTTATTAAGGTTTAGAGTTTAGGGCTTAGGATCGTGAGTTTGGGGTTTCGGGTTTAGGGCTTGGGGCGTTTATTGTTTGAAGTCATAAGTCATAATATAGGGGCCCTAATCATTGGAGTAGGGTCCTTTCAAAGGGCTTCAATAAGTTGGGTGTAGCGTAAATAGCATAAAATGATACACGTTGTTGCAAGGGAAAAATACTACTGCGCATTGAGACCTCTAGATTAGCCAGGGCTAAGTGTTGACACAACAAGAAGCCAACATACCAGCAGTGTCAAGCCCAACAGAGCTATATCCATGTTTAGGAATCATCATGAACGTCCCATGTTCATTAACACATACCGGTAGCACTACTAGCAATACCAGTCATACTGGTGCTACTACCTGTCACAAGCACTCGTCCAAACGCTACTACATCGGAAGCTGTTGGCCAGTCGAGTTTTCAGGGACCTGCTAGACAAATACTCGTCAACACCTGCACCACGAAGGACCATCAACCCTCAGCGTAAGGACCGTACGATCCTTGACAACTGATGGGGCCATATCCTATTCCTGGAACCCCTGATGACACCGATCATGAACCCAAACTCCTCATGACACCGGTCTTCATGAGCTGGGGTTCTTGAACAGTTTAGGGTTTAGGGCTTAAGGTTTAGGATTTCAGGTGGTTATGCCTATGGACAGCCAGTCAAAGAGCGTGTACGGCCCATGAGAATCCTTTGTAACATCTCCTAGAGTCGGCTTACTCGTCCCGAACCCTGAACAAAACCTAATCCTTTGAGGGCTCAGGGTGCGTAGGCTAGCGCACATTCTGAACCTGAAACCAAACCACAGCCATAAACCAAACATGCCAAGCCGCTTAACCTTAAAGCCTGATGTAATGGCCAAGCCCAAAAGCCTAAACCCAAAGAGAAAATCAAGCCAAGGGTCGTAGAGGTGCTCCAGACGCATGGTGCCCACCTAGGCTCGGAAATTGAATTGGGAATCTACATCCAGGGCGGAGCTTAAAGACGGTCGGGTTCGGGTTTAGGGTTTGGGATCTATCTATACGCTCAAAATAGCCTAAAGGCCCACAAGCCATGATGCCTTGGGGTGATGGGCACAGGGCCGTGATGACTCCAAGGTGTAAGGATTCATAGGGTTCGTTGGGGGCGGAAATTTCCTGCTCTTGGGCTGCTTGGTCCCTTTGAGAAAGTGTGGGATGGCGACCGTCTTGCTGAAGCTACCATACTTGATCTCTGCGAAGAAACTGCTTTCTTACGTCCACGGATCCTCATGTGCGCCAAGCTGCCAGGGTGTCAGCACGGACAACGTCGATGTTCAGTGACCTTCGATAAGGGGTGTTGTTCGAACGAAAGATGGCCGTACTCTCAACCCGAAAGAAGGCTCCTATGTCCGGCCGCTCAACTATTTCCTGAAGTCGCGGCCCCGCTCAAGATCAACTTCTACTTGATCTGCATGTGTGTGAAGCAGGCTATAATTGAGAGATTGCTGTGACAGTCAGTCGAGGGGGCTGCAGGACTGAACAAAGACATCAGCAATCCGGTAAAACTGCTGCTGCCCCCATGACAGAATTTCAGTCAACAACTTCAAGTGTATATACAGCATCGTAGCAAAACACACGCTCAGAAACTCCAAACCTGGACATTAATTACCAAGAGGGCCCGTTGACACGACCACAAACGCCCTCAGCCCTCTGCTCCAAAACCCTACACCCCAAATCCGTCAACACCCTGAGCACGCCGCTAGAATGCCACTAGATCCCAAACCCCAGCACCCGGAACCCCACCCTAGGGCCCTAGCCAACCACTAAACCCTAAACCTTATACCCTAAACCCTATACCCTATACCCTAAACCCTAAACCCTCTATATATATATATATATATGGTGCCCCCCCCCCACGTACCTACCCTTTTCCTGCTTTCCTGTTCAGGTGCGGAGCTCAGCAAGCCGATGCAGGTTTATGTCATCCAGGGGATACGGGCTGCAGTAAGATAAGATGGTGCTCCTACACACAATCCCAATCGTGCTCCTGTACACCGTCCCAAAACCGCACGGTCGCGATTGAAACTACCAATAAAAGTGGCACACAAGGAGTCCGAAACATTGGAAAAACCAATAAAGTTGGCCGACAAGGAGCTTAAAGCATTGGAAAAACCAATAAAAATGGCACACCGGGAGTCCAAAACATTGGAAAAACCAATAAAAATGCATACAAGGAGCTCAAAACATTGGAAAAACCAATAAAAACCATAAAAACCATGATTTTCAAACTATCGCCCGGGAGGTGGTGTCGCGCCTGGACATAAATTGAAAATCATGGTTTTTATGGTTTTTATTGGTTTTTCCAATGTTTTCGGCTTCTGAAACTCGGAAACATTGGAAAAACCAATAAAAGTGGCACACAAGGAGTCCGAAACATTGGAAAAAACAATAAAAATGGCACACCGGGAGTCCAAAACATTGGAAAAACCAATAAAAACGCATACCAGTAGCTCAAAACATTGGAAAAACCAATAAAAACCATAAAAACCATGATTTTCAAACTATCGCCCGGGAAGTGGTGTCGCGCCTGGACATAGATTGAGAATCATGGTTTTTATGGTTTTTATTGGTTTTTCCAATGTTTTCGGCTTCTGAAACCCGGAAACATTGAAAAAACAATAAAATTGGCACACAAGGAGTCCGAAACATTGGAAAAAACAGTAAAGTTGGCCGACAAGGAGCTTAAAGCATTGGAAAAACCAATAAAAATGGCACACCGGGAGTCCAAAACATTGGAAAAACCAATAAAAATGCATACAAGGAGCTCAAAACATTGGAAAAACCAATAAAAACCATGATTTTCAAATTATCGCCCGGGAGGTGGTGTCGCGCCTGGACATAGATTGAAAATCATGGTTTTTATGGTTTTTATTGGTTTTTCCAATGTTTTCGGCTCTGAAACTCGGAAACATTGGAAAAACCAATAAACTGGCATACATTCTAGTTGTGAGGATTGAAGATCAAGGCTTTAATCAGTCGTCAATATCCTGAGTGCCAGAAGACGTCTCAAGATGGAAGAGCTTGCATACTACAGATCATCATCCAAGTATAAACCTTTCCTATCCACTATTAGCTGTTTATCTTACAAGCTGTTTACATCTAAGAAACTGTAAGATTAATACAAGTTGTAACAATCAATAAACGTATATCTTACGGTCTAGATGTTGGTATGGTCTGTAAAGTCCTAGTAACCAGGCTAAGTCTTATGCGTTGAAACACCTGCTATGTTAGGTAGGCACCTGTAGTCCCAGGGCCCCATAGCCCCCAGATGTTTATAGACTGTAATGGTATGAAATGGAATGAGTAGCAACAAACGTACTCAGTAGGATGATAACAGTTAGCACATGGTTGATATCCATAAATATCCTGTAATCATAAGAGGATTGGTTTGTATTATTAGTACTTCATTAATCTCATGCGCAACTTATGGTATCAGTCTTACTAGCTACAGATTCAGTACATCAGGTTTATCATCAACATTAACATCTTTATATCTTCTGTATTACTTGTCATATTGTGAAATTATTAGGTTTGCGTTTAGTTACTTTATCAGGAGCTTTGCTAATGCTATTGACAGATATACACGATAATGCAATATTCTATGAACCATACTTTGGAGGTGATCCTATATTCTACCAACGTTTGTTTGTTTTTTTGGACCGGTTGGTATTCAATAGTCTAACAATAATTGGCATATTACACGTCTTGGTTAACTTATTTATGATCTTAGTTATGAGTTGTATTGTCTATTAGGAAAGTTCAGTTTGGCCACATCATATATTTACAAATAGTATGGAATAGTGATACAAGAGCTAACTTTACAACTTTGTAAATTGATAATGTCATTACCAGCTGGTTCGTTAAGACCTTTTGATTGGTGTTCTACATATCTGAATACTTAATGCATAGTTCATGATACTAGTTCACAACTAATGCTATCTGGTATACTAGATCTTTCATATGAACTGTATATAATAGGTGGTCCAACTGGTATTGTACTTGGCTAAATTTTAATGCTGACATAGATTTACATGACTCTTATTATGTTGTTGCAGGCTTTCTTTGTGTGTTTTATCATTAGGTACAGTCATTGCTTTTCTGTTAAGTCTATTATATGTACAGTCAGATGAAGTATGATTAATAACAGGATCAACATGACTTGCTAACACCAGGTTAACAGCTAGTGGTATGAATGGTTTAGGTTAGCTATGTTTCGTAGTTATTACAAGTTAAGTTATCTAGGTTATTCATGGTAGTTGTGGTCCAGTGGGATTATGCTACCGTCTACACCATTACATCTAAGTGGTTACTAATGTTATGCCTAGAAGAGTACAAGACTATGGAGAGTAGTTTATAATCGTTGGAATAACACTAGTTCAGTTGGTTAGAGGTTGCGTGTTAAATCGTTTTTTTGTCACTGCTGATAGGTAAGGTGGGCCCTCTATGGGCCGATGTACCCGTACCTCCATACGGGGTGAACAACCAGCATATATAGATGGGATGGCAACTTCTTTTAGTAACACGAATTGATAATAATAGCTGCATGGTGTTGCAAAGACTTTGGTGATACAGTTAATACGTGAATGACTGCAATTGTATTATTAGAATGGATCGTAGTGGGCCTACTTCAGTGGCCCATGTGTGACACTTGCACCATGTCAAAAGAAGGTTGCTTACACATCAATAGCTGTTGTATCTGGCTCACAGAGTCTTTGTAATACGTCGAAGTGTTCAACACTTGGAGACAAACACACCAAATAGGTAGGTACGTCGGGGGGGGGTAGCATATATATATATATATATATATATATACATATACCCCAAACCCTAAACCCTTCAGGACAAGCCCTTCCACTGGTGTACCGAGGCGCTTTCCGACCAAGTGGGCATGATAAACCACTCCTCCCGAAGCTGGGCTTAGGGTTTAGGGTTTAGGGGTTTAGGGTTTAGGGGTTTAGGGTTTAGGGTTTAGGGATTACGATTTCGAACCGACTTTTCGGGTATCATGGGGAACTAAAGGTTAACCTTTTTGGTAATATAGGGATTATAAAGGAAGTGTACTACCCAAAAAAGGTTACAGGGCACCTACTCTGTCACTGGGTGGGTTTAGGGTTGAAAGTTAAAAAAAACTCCCCAAGGCACTATATGGGGTTTTCAGTCGTTCAGCCTGGAACAGACATAATACCAGTTTCCCGGGTTTGGGGTTTCGCGCTGTTGTGTGTGTGGGTGGGTGGGATACCAAGCACCGCCCTACATGTAGCCTGCACCTGCTCTTCAACCAAGCCTTCACTTAAGGTCTTAAGGTGCCATGTTGGAGTTTCCGAAAATGGGGACCCTAAAAGAATACCCTAACCAGTAGGATCCTTAGTATAAGGACCCCGAAATAAGGTGCCCCTAGTTTTCGGAAAGCGCCATGTTCGGCCACCTTGAGGGCATTGGGGTCGACGAGCCGCGAATCAGTACTGCAGCGGCCTCAATCATTAGAATAGGATTTTGGTGCCCATTCTTCTTCCATAAGTATAGCCCCAAGGGTCCAAGTACCTAATAATCATATACTCTCCGAAATCCTAACCTACATAACTACTATCCTAAAACCGAGTAACTAATTATTGGGTCCTTTGGACCCTTGGGGTAGTAAGGAGAACCTCCAAAATAGTATAGGTGAACTCCTCAGGCCCCCATATTACACCACACGGTTCAAAAATCCGCCCCAAACCGCTCAGTTAAAGCTGAAAACGACCTAACCCCGAAGAGAGACAACCACGCTTCGCTCCCACGACGTTGAGCTCGTCAGCCGTCCAGGAATCAGTGCATTGAGAGGGAACGACGGCTTCCTTCCTTGGATTTTGTGGATATCATCTTCGAAAAGTACAGGGTTTGGGGTTGAGAATATGGCATATGGTCTCAAACATTTACTATACGAGAACCAGGGAATATGATGGTAGATTTTATTTCAGACCCCGATAATTCGGAGTTGTGTTGCGAGGTTTCGCTTGGGTACGGCCCCCACTCAGTAATAGTTGCAGAGTTTTCATAACATAGATATATTAGGACCGTAGTAGTAGCCCTATTACAGACTCTTAGTGCATGGGGGCAGTACCTAAGGATTTGAAGGCTCGGGTCGAGGTGTTTCTGGCTCAGGGTTTAGGGTTTTTTTTTTTGAGATGCAGTGGCCCCTTTCTCCGCAGCAGCAGGGTTTAGGGTTTAGGGTTTAGGGCTTAGGCAGGGAGGGGGATTGAACAAAACGCAAGAGTGTAAGTCGTAAGCTCGCATGTGGGTTCTTCTGGGGTTGTAAGGTTTCCCCAAAACCCTAGTCACCCTAAAACCTCAAAACCCCAAACCTCAAACCAAAATCCCTAATTCCATAACCCTAGACCTCTAAACCATGAACCCAAAATCCTCGTCTCCCCCAACCCTCAAGCCCTAAACCCCTAATTCCAAAACCCTCGGCCCCTAAAACATGAACCCAAAATAGGGCCCCAAAAAAACACATAAGCAAAAACAAGGATAGGGATATCCGATATAGATCCCCTTACGATGAAGCCCAATAAGGTAGGGATATCCCTATAGAATGCTTATGCTCATGTGCTTTTTTAGTCCCTAACAAAACCTTGCGAAGGGAGGAATCCCGTGTCGGCTCGAAGCCGGCTCTTTTTGGCTTAGGGGTTGGGCTTTAGTGATTTGGCGTAATTATCCGGTATACCCCACTCAAGGCAAAAGACATGGTAGCATTGCAGGGTTAAGGCTTTAATCAGAGTTTGTATGCTTATTATGTACCAGATCCCATGGAGAATGGGTAATATGGCGGCGCTAATATCTAAATATAGTTGTAATGAGGAGCCCCAAAATAGTATCGGTAGTTATTGGGGCCAGGATTTATCACCGGTATATCTGGGTGCTTGTCAAAATTGTGGTCCCTTTTTGGGGACCCTAAATATTGGGTGCCGTATTATAATGAGGACCCACAAGGGGACACCAATATTGACAACCGCCCATCTGTAGCCCCAAACTTGAACCGAAAGCTTCAACCGGACCGGCTGCAGAGCCGCGTCAACCGCCAGAGAAAAAGCAATACACGTTTGAGGGTCGAATATGCTTTAACAAGTAAGTAGAAAAGGGGGTCTTGGGGTATAGTGTACTATGCTTATAAGGGGGGGAGCAAAAAAAAGAGCTGTTACTGAGTACTCAGACCTCTATACCGCTGAGATCTTCAGGCAACCATGACGGGAGGCCAAAAGGGGGGTTTAAGATTCTGGGGGTAGGGATTCCTTTTTCTGAACCCTATTATGGGAACCCTAATCCCTACTAAACCCCCACAAGCTAAAACCCCTTTTGGCCTCCTGTGAAACCAAGGCTCAGGACGTACTCTTGCTGCCCTGCCGGGATATCCTGAGATCTGGATTTCCCTAAACCCTAACCCCCAAACCCCTAAACCCTAACCCTAAACCCTAAACCCCCAAACCCCTGAACCCTAACCCTAAACCTTTAGGGCCCTGGAAGCCTAAAGTCAAACTCCTTAGGCATCCAAGGACTCCTGTATTAAGGCTTTTGGGCCCAAAGACCATGCTATATAAGGCTTCTGGGCTACTTTGACGTCCAGGGATAGCCAAGAAAACAGCCGGGTTTGGTTTAGGATTCAGGGTTTGTGGCTAGAGTTCAGGGTTTCTGGTTCATGTGCAGGGCTTGATCGTGTTTAGTAGCAGTAGAGGTTCTATAGGCACTCGGCGGGGTTTCCGCGACTTTAGTACCCTAAGGCCCCAAAGTAGTTCCTTTTTGGGGGTTCATGTTTAGAATGCCATAAGGTAATCCCAAAAAGGAACCACTATGGGGCCTTAGGGTAGAGCTGTTATAGGGATTCAGTGGGTTTGCAAGGTTTCCGGCTCCGGCGTGCAGGTACTTTACGTACGTAGCATGTTAGACGTCTAGCCAAGGACTTCTTAGAGGGTAGTTTAAGGGTTATAGGCCTCATAGTAGTTCCTTTTTGGAATTTCCTTATGATCGAATTCTAAATACGAACCGCAAAAGGAACTACTATAGGGCCTATGGGTAGGGCTTAGGGGATACTTTCTGCACTCAACTTCAAGGCTAGGACTCTTGAGGAAAGACGAAGCAAAGATCGAGCAGTTCTCATCCGAGGCAGGTGTTTAAGAGGTTCTTTTCCGGGTTTTAAGGGTTCGGGTTTATGGTACTAGGGTTTGGGGCTTAGGGTCCTCGTACAGGGTGTAGTACAAGGGGTTTAATGTTCTACGTTTTGCTTTACTTGTCTTCTTTGCAAGACACCAGAAAACCCAGGCAGGGTTTTGCACGGACCCATCAAAACCCTGTCCCCAAGGGTCCAAAGACCCAATAATCAGGTATTCGGTTTTAGGATACTGGTGATGTAGGTTAAGACTTTGGAGAGTAGAAGGGGGTTTCCGAAAAAAAAGGCACCCTAATGCAGCACACTAAACTGTAGGATCCTTATCATAGGGACCCCAATATAGGGTACCACTAGTTAATTTTCGTAAACCCTAAACTCTAAACCCTAAGCTCCCATATGATAGCTAGGTACCTGGACCCTTGGGGTATGAAGAACAGATCCAAAGGCTCGCTATGTCCATAGGGGGAGTGCTATACCCTCTATAAGGGTCCACGTGCCCAAATAGGGTTCCTTTATATTCAGGGTACCGCAAGGGTTCCTCTAAAAGTCCAAGTACCAAATAATCATATACTCTCCAAAGTCTCAACCTACGTAACTAGTATCCTAAAACCGAGTACCTAGTTATTGGGTCTTTTGGACCATTGGGGTTCCTCTAGGGGATCTATACTGGTCTATTTTATGGGGTTTAGGGTACAAGGGTCCATGTACCCAAGTAGTGTATACTTTGGCCCCAATGTACTTATTCCGGGAGTACTTGAAGGCTAACGTATGTACTGTTTGGGTAAGATCCGAGGATCCGCTCTCATCTCTGAGTCGGTGCCACCATTGAACCTCTCAAAGTGTTCCCACAAGGACATATGTCAGTCTTTAGAGTAGTTAAGGGTGCTTGAATAGATCTATGGTTTTATAAGGGTTTGGGGTCGAAGGCTCCATTTGGCCATTTGGGCTGGAAGACGTTGAGGTTAGGGCTTTAGGGTTTAAGTAAGATAAGTTGATCGTGGCCAGATTGTATTTGGAAGTAGGGTTCAAGGATGTAACAGTTGAGGTGTACCATAAATCCTAAACCCCAAAGACAAACATACTCAGCCCTTAAACCCTAAACCCTAAGCCTCGGGATATTTAATGTCATTCTGACTGAAGGTATGTTCCCATCCGCTCCCAAACCTTTAACTAATACCCTATACACCCTAAACCGTACATCCTACACCCTGCCCAGGGAACCGGAACACGGCGGCATCGAAGGTGCGCAGGGCGGGGGCAAACGTCAGCCGCACTCCGCTGCTGTCCCGCCTCGAATATGGGGGTTTAAGGTTTATGAGGCTGAGGGCTATAGGGTTTACGGCCTAGGCTTTATAGGAGTTTAGGGTTTCGTCGGGTTTTGTACGGATGCCATACTGCTGTTTTGGAGTTGTTACTTTAGAGTACAGAATCACTGGGACTGCAAAGGGACATGGTTTGTTCAGACCTTTGTAGCTATGCAAGAGTTACGGGCGAGGATTTGGGGCTCCGGGATTTATGGGGTTTTAGGATCAAGTCTTTAGCCATCGGGTGCGGAGCATCTTCGCCAGTATACTTAGGCGAGCCAAGCCCCACATGTGAACTACTTGAACCGTGCGCAGGATTTTTTGAGGACTGCCCAGGTACAGAGGAGGGAGTTCTGAGACAAAACTCAGCTGTTGCAGTGCTTGGGGAAGTTTTGCGTGAAGGATTCAATTCAGCTTAAGCCCAAAATGTGCAAACGCGGGTCCAAGTAAACACGAACTAACCGATTTCACATATTCTCAACAAAAACCAACTATGACAGCCGGTATCCTAAACCCAAGCGATGAATCATAAGGTACCGTGGGACCGTGGGCCCTTGACTTGTGGCTATAGTAGGGTTTATAGGCAACCTTAATGCTACGTCCCTGTCCCGTTGAAGTGAAACGTCTTCACGGGGGCGAAGTGCCCGGGGGAGTTGTAATCACGTATAGTAACACACCAAAATATTTAAAGTATTAAATGATGCTCGGCTACTTAAGACGCTGGCCCGAAGCCCCGACAGCCCCACAACCCAAATCCTACACCCCTAAACCCTCCACCTTGAACCCTTTCGGAGGCCTCAAAAGGTGGGATGAAGGTAGGTAGGATATTCCCAAATGAGAGTCCTTGTATAAGGGATCCTTATCCTACCCACCTTCATCCCACCTTTTGAGGCCTCCGACCCTTGCGTCTCGCTATGGCTTGCCACCAGGCGTGCTCTCGGGTTTCTGCGGTTGCACTTTTCCGTTTCGGGTGTGGGTTTAACACCGAACTTTCTAAATTCTACTGCACAAGCCTGAATTCAATTTATTATGGCCTTAAGAGTCTCTGCATATATAAACGATAGCCTACCTCAAAACTCTACTAGAACTACGTAAACCGGACACCTGTAACCTATGAGCCGTGGAATTACCCAAATCTCCGGGCTTGACCAGACCAAAAAACTGGCAATGCAGGAGCCTTTAACAATTCGAACTGAGTGTGATGGTGCATCATTGCACTATATATCCATATATATATATATATATATGTATGTATAGATATATGCCTACATGCATACATACATACATATTACATACATATATACACATATGTCATAGAGGGACTACAGTCGGTTTGTCTAGTATGGTGAGTACGTCGACAAGCAGCCAATTTCAGTCGGGCTTCCTTCGCCCAAACCCTGAATCCTCCTGTTCACTGCCCGAGAAAGGTCATAATATAATAGGGTTCTATAAGGGTTCCTTTAAAGGGTACTATAAGGGCACTATGGGGGTTTTGGGTGGTTTGATGTAGGAACCTGATTAAGGAACCTCGGGCCTTTATTAGGGTTCCCTACATGAATCCTCATATTTTGGGGTTATAGGCCCAAGGTGTCTTAATCAGGTTCCTACATTATCCTCTCATATGGGAAACATGAAGGGTTCAGGTTTAGGGATTAGGGTACAAACTTAACCCTGGAACCACCACTCCCAGCACCTTAGGCCCCATTACACTACTACTACGGCGCCCTTCTCAGTAACTAGAAGGGGCCCCCACCCTGTAATAGTGGTATAATAGGAATATATTAGGGCCACATTATATTCCGATTATACCACTATTACAGGGTTGGGGCTGCTTCCAATCTATACCCTAGTCCTTTAATGAATACCGTAGCCGATCTCCCCAGTCTTTACTGGATATATCAACTCCTCGACTCGAAACCCCAGCACCCTAAACTTAGCTTCTGAGTTCATAAGCCCCCAAATGTGTACACTTTCAGTCTACAGAGGGTAATTCTATCCCAAAATGTGTAAATTAAAGTGGATCCACTTAGCTAAAAAAAGTAAACCCTGAACTCTCCTGCAGCAGCTGAGAAGGGCACACCCCTGTATGAAGCGAAGGGTTGTAGTAGTGCATCTGCAGTGCGTACCAACCTGGGCGGAAAAAATACCAAGACCTTCCTTCTACCTCAAACAAGATTATGTGAACCCGAACAATTTGTGTCTAGGGTCCAAGATATAGAAGGCAGATGGGTAGTTGTCAAAATCATGGTCCCTTTTTGGGTCCATATTATAGTACGGCAATTAATATTTAGGCCCAAGAAAGGACCATAATTTTGACCGCCACCCAGATAGAGGTCTAGACAGGTGTTTCAAGCTCAGATTAGGATTCTATAATCAAGCTTTCATAGGTCCTTACGGAGCTGGCGCAGTACGAGTTTGTAGGCCTGCAGCATGCGCGAAAGGGCATTACCAGGCCTCAGCATAGGAGCCTGAATAATTAGAGCATGCTTTCGCGAGTATACGGTATACTCTACAGAAACTCTAACGGCGTCCGATCTCCATATGGGTAGTTGTCAAAATTATGGCCCCTTTTTGGGGCACCCGAAATATTAGGTGCCGCATTAAACAATAAGGACCCAAAAAAGGACCCTAATTTTGACAGCCACCCACACCGCGTCGAGGCTTCTGGGCTCGTGGTTGAAGGTTTCAGGGTTTCAGGCATCGGCTGGTTTGGGGTCTAGCCTGGGCTGTGGGTTCTTTGAGAGTTTGGACCAGGATTCCAGCATTTTGGGCTAGTTGTAAACGTTGGGAGTTTAGGGCATGTGAGCTGGGGAGCAGCAACATCAGACGAACTCACACTGTGAAGGACTCGCTGGTTGGCAGGATTTGCAGACGTACGGTGCAAGAAATACCGGAACCCGGGACGACATGATGCAGAACCACTAGTCAAACTAAGTACGCACCCATGTCAAGAGAAACAATTATCTAAGGAGCGTTGGGATCCCTCTTCTCAGACTTACTCATGGGATGAAGGGTTCATAAAGGGTGTAGGGATATTTGCGCTTTACATATATTACTCATTCAAGCTCCTATACGTTCAACCCTGTAAACCTGTAGATGTTTGATATAGCCGCCAGGGTTTAAACTTGTCTCAGGGCTTACTTCAAAGGGTTCATGTATTGCTAGAGTACTTATATAGGGACTGCCTCAAGGCCAGAGTATAGTTACAGCAATATGAGCACATGGATTACGATTACCCAGAGGGTCCAAGTACCCCAAATTGTGAGTTAGATCCCAAAATCCCTACACTGAATCGTTTTTGGACCTTGGGACCCTACTATTTGGGTACTTGGACCCTTAGGGTTAAGGTATCGTCTTCTGGATCTCCTGGGCTGCCGAACCACCTCCCTTGCTTTGCGTCCCAGTGGCGGCTGCCGCTGCCGAAAGGCATGCCAACGTTTGTGGGAAGCACCTTAGGAGTTCCTTGATGCAATGTTGTTCGTGCGTTTTGTCGGTGATTTTTACCCTCGACACTAAACTCACTAAACTAAACCCCGTAAATCCCAAACGCTTCAGCCCCAAACCCTCGACCAGCCTTCTACACACCCTGAGCGAAACCCTTGCGGAAGCCCTTAACGGAACCCCCACATACCTCAAAACAAAAGGGAAAACACGAATCAAAGGCTCCGAGGCGCCAGTGGCTCGGAGCCCACGGCCCAGGGCCACTTCATTGAGTTGCAGCTTGGGGGCCTCCAAGGAGGGGTTTCGGGTTTGGGCAGGGTCGAAGGATCTAGTTATGTTTAGGGTTTAGGGACTGTTGTTTGGGATGGGTCTCTTTCTTCGACGGGTGGGGGGCGGGGGGGTGTGTTACGAGGGGTTGAAGACTTCGGTTTTTGTGTTTGGGGGGGTGCCCAGAGGCCCCAAAGTAGTTCCTTCAGGGGTTCATATATAGAAACCTCTAAGGTAATCCCAAAAAGGAACTACTATGGGGCCTCGGGGTAAAGCTCTACTGTACTTGTTGTCGTTTGTTTGGTTTGGAGTCAGTTGAGATTGTCTTTGTTCCAAGCTTTACAGGGTTCTATTTGGAGCATCCCAAAGGGGGTGGGGAGCTAAGGGGTGCTCACCAGCAATGCCGTTAGGCTTTGTCAATAGCAGAATCTCGACGTCTCGTGAGAAACCTCGAGGAGTGACTTGAAGCTTGGGGAGAAAGCCTCTTGAGTTATATAGACGAGGCCTTTGAAATAAAACCCATGACAGCTCACACCGCTTTTCGCACCTAGTCAAGCACGTGATGGGATCCTATTGCCCACTCGCTGACTCGCTGACTATTGTTAAGCAAACTGCAACATTTCGATTTGTCATTCGATGATGGCAGACACTGTGAACGTAGGCATGCTCTTGGAGCTTGGAGGATCTGACACCAAACTTCACGGCCGGAGTTTACGACGCAGCAATGATGCTGCGTCGTTGTGGTGGTGATGCCGCTGCTGCTGGTGCTGGGGGTGTTGGCCGAGATGACGCAGGCCTGTTAACGGTGATGATTAAAAAACTCAAGACCGTCATGATGCAATAACTCACTCTGCAAGCTCTACTGCCTAGTTCAAGGATACCATGACAAACATGTGGTAAAACCTCGGCGGCCTGTATGGTGGGATGTTTTACTTTTGGTCATGTGTTTTGGATATTGGACCTCGCTTAGATGAGCACTGCCTACACTTGCACCCCCTTGCATAAGGATATCTTCATTTCCTGCAGGCTAGTATCAACCCGTTGGAGGCATCGCATAAGAGTTTGAAGCAAGCCTTTTCAGTCCGTGGAAGCCCTAGCGGAGCACCCCTTAGGGGAGCGCCCTTTCTAGCCGGCCCCGATCTATAGAGACTAACATCAAAGATCGTTGACGCAGAATTTTAAATGGTTCTTCGGTTTGCAAAACACCGAAAACCACCTTAGAATCATTCATAACAAGAGCTCTGCCTCGGCCAGGGCTGTCCTCTTAAACATTAAACAGACTATGACAAAAGCCGCCCGTTCCCTCGCCCTTGAATGAAACACACATCTACTCTCTAAAACCCTACACACCTAACATGGCATACTCTAGGACTCTAGGAGGGGCCATCTCATCCATTTCGAGTGTCCTGAACCCATAGCCAGGACCTGGTTTACAACGTGCCTCAATCGATCACTTGGGCCTTTCTCCCTACACCCCAAACCCTGTCTTGTGTAATGTAGGGGCCTTAATAATTAGAATAGGGTTTTGGGTTATAGAGTACTATAATTACAATAAGGAACCCCCCAAATAGTATTGGTAATTATTAAGGCCCCTATATGAATTACCTCTTTTCACGGCAGCAGCCCGACTTCAGTTTCGACTGGATGCTTTGCGCCCAAACCCCAAAACCTAGACCCCGAACCCGGGCACCCATGAAGCCATCGAAACCATAAGTTCATTTCAGCATCCGAGAGGCATAGACTCGCATTCAGGCACAATCTGCGGCGGTTTGGGTGTGTCGGGAAGGGTTCCTTGAGGTGATACCTAGAATGTAGTGCCGCTTCGGCGGGAATCCGATAATTAGACTTCAAAGTTAGGATCCCAGCATATGAAAGAGGTGACCAACAAAATACGACACAGTTCCAGGTATATTAGTTGCTGTAAGGAATCGTTTGAGTTTGACGGTTCCCTTTAGGAAGGGTTAACTCTGCGTTTCTATCCGAGCAGAATCTGCGACACAAGAGAGAGAGAGAGAGAGAGAGAGAGAGACGGTTTCGGTTTCGTGGTTGAGGGCCACACCGGGTTTAGGGTGTAGGATTTATGGGATTGGGTGTGGGGATTTATGGTGCAAGGTCTGTGGGCCCTCGGTTTCTTAAGCTGACTTGATCAGATTTGGTGAGTCCTACTACGTACAACACTGATAGGTTTAAGGAACAAAAACCACCGGTTTTCGGGCTTATCAAACGGGAACCCACTAGGCAGGTATCTGGACTTCTACAGGGATGTGATATAACCCTGAGGGCCCATGTGCCCAGTCAATATAGTCGCTTTCGAGGTACTTTGGCACAACAAGTATATACTGCTTGGGTACATGGACCCTTATGATCTACCCAGAGGGTCCAAGTACCCAAATAGTACGGTTTCAGATCCAAAAATCCATACCCTGAATGGTTTTTTTGACCTCGAAATCCTACTATTCGGTGACATGGGCCCTTATGATCTAGTTCGAGTTCGCTCGACACTGCTCATGAACGCGAGTCCCTAATCGTTTCTATCCGTGGCGACTCGCGAAAGTCATGCCGAAACGCGAGCTCTAAACCCGATTTCCTAAACCAAACCTGACCAAAGGGTCCCTTTAGTCCCTGTAAGCACCTCTATAGCAGAATGTCGGAGTCTCTGTCATAGGGAATTACTCTCATGGCTTAGGCAAGTATCCTCCGTAGAGAAGTCTGAGGACCTTTTGGGTCACAACCCCTCTCTCTCAGACCCGAATACTAGCCCTAAGAACCCCGAAGCGGGTACTTCCAGCATCCCGAAACCCTAAATCCTACATATTACCCGAATAGACAGCTATTCTAGGAGCCCTAAAAGGAACCGTCAATTGAGCCCTTTCAAAGGAATCCCTTTAGTGGAACCCTAAATCCCAAAGGAACACCCTAACCCTTCGGCTATCCCCTTTTGAACCCTGTAAAGCCCTCTACAGTTACAGAGCCCTACAAACCCATCTAACAGCCAATCAATTAAACCCTAAACCCAACTCTGAACCTAAACCCTAAAATCCCTAAACCCCACCCCAAACCCCTAAACCCAAACCCCCAAACAGAACTCCTTTCCGGGGGCTGGGCGGAGAGGTGCGTGTAGCCGGCATTTTGAAGACCCCAGGGCTCGCACTCATAGAGGATCATGTGGTGGACGTACCTTGTCTTGATTGAAGATGCTTTAAGGGGTTCTTACAGAGATTTAAACGGTTTGATGGAGCTTAACCGGGGGTCATAATTTGCTCATTGTTGGGTTTGGGATACTGGTATGCGTCACTACACTTGCTCTATGGCTTTAAAAGGGATCGTTGAAGGGTTTTCCGAGGGATGCACCAGGACTCTCAGAGGTGTTACAAGGGTTCTATCAGCGATCTACATGTGCGGAAGTAGCTGCCGACAACCTTCACAACATCGGCGAGTTTTTTTGGGGGGGCACAGTTCGATAGTGTTAAGGGTTTAGGTATGGCATAGTAGGGGCATCTTTGGGCCCCTACGCTCCATAAAGCAAATTATGACCCCCGGTTCAGCCCTTACAAGGTAAAACGTCATGACCACATGTTCACGGTCTAGATTTTTAGGGTAACCTAACTCTGGGGCCCCACACTTCAAGCTGGTACCTAAATAGTATACCCAGAGGGTCCAAGTATCCGAATAGTAGGGTTTTAGATCCCAAAATCCATACCCTGAATGGTTTTTGGACCTTGAAACCCTACTATTTGGGTACTTGGACCCTTAGGGATATATACTTGGCCCCAAAGTACCTGTATAGGGACGACATTAAGGCCAAAGTATAAAGTAATTGGGCACATGGATCATGAAGGGATCCAAATGGGTCTGGCACAGCTACGAAATTTCAGGCCAAGTTGCTGCGCGGAGTCTTGGTCTACAAGGGCAGAGAACTTCGCAACCTTCTGGGTTTACACGTTGGGTCTAGGCTCTAGGTTTTGGGTTTAGGGTTTGCTCTTTAGGTGAGGGCTTAATAAGGATTAGGGCTAGGGTTCAACGTTTGGTTCGGAGTGAGGAGCAGTGTCTGGGTAAAAACGGTTCCGCACATCCACAAAACACTGCACACCTTAGCCTTGAGGGTTGGCTGTGCATGTAGGCTATAGTAATCTAGGATACCCAGTAACCTAAGAATAAAAAGGCCTCTCTTTTTGGTATTGGGTAACTTTATAAGGAACCTAGGACTACAAAAAAGGAATAAGGGTACTTCTGGGCATCCTAGTAATTACTCGTTGCTTCCACCTCTATGAGACTAGCCCCGCTTTTGCGGGTACGTAGCTTGATGGTCAATATCTATTATGAAGAGAACCAGGTACCCTAAACAAGCGACAGGGGTATGACTCCCTGGTATGGTAGGATGGTATATACCCAGAGAACCCAAAATCCCTTAATTGAGGAATAGACCTTAAACCTTATTAGGGTTCTTTATTATAGTTTAGAGTATATTCCTTTGTGAAGGGGTTTTGGAGTCTCTGGGTCCCCCCACTAAAATAACGTAAAGCTTGCCGAGCCAGTGCTTTAGGAGCACCTGAACTACTACCAGGAGCTAAGGGTTTAGGCTTTAGGGGTTTAGGGGTTCAGAGGTTTTGGGGGTTTAGGGGTTTAGGGGTTTAGGGTTTAGGGGTTCAGGGGTTTAGGGGTTTCGGGGTTTAGGGGTTTAGTGTTTAGGGCAGGCATGACTAACGAAGTTTCAGGGACCCGGATCAGCCAAACAGGGCGTTAAACTTAACTTTAAGAATAGTAATAGGGATTCCTTCAGAGGGTTCCGTCCCGGGACTTTAAAGGTTCACGGCAGGGAACTTCATAACCAGAGTAGGATTGTAGTGGTATATGAGTGTATAGTAACTAGTACATAGTTAGAATAAGGAGCCCGGGGGAATGGTATTGGGACGACAAGACATACCTTCCTTAACTACATCATGTTCGCCATAAACCCTCTTAATGAACATTGTCCTGATCCTAAACCTGAATTCGGCAGCTACCCTAAACCCTAATCCCAACAACATGAAACACACCTAATACTGACTCCAGCTCATGAGATGCTTCGGCACCTCAGACCTCATAGGAGAAAAGTGACTCCAGCTCCTGTGATCTTTCGGCACACAAAACCCCATACCCTAACATCAAAACCCCATACCTTCATCCCCAAACTTTGAGCCCTAAAGTCCTAAAGCCACTGTTCCGAGCAATTCTCCAGTGGCCTCGCAACCCGAAGAATCCAGAAGCTCTTGGTTAAGGGGCATCATTCCTTTGGGAGATTCGTCAATGGATCCTTTGAGGGCTATAGCTTCAATCAACCTGAACAGGATCCCTTTAAAACTTAAGGTGTATTCCTTCTGACGCAGGACCATAGCTGAAACCATCTGTGTGTTTGTTTCTGTATATGTAGAGAGGGACAGACATATCCCTGAATATCTTATGGTATACTTATTTCTTAAAGTAGGGGGCCTCATGTACCTTGAACCCCAGTACGCCCATGAGTCAACCTAGACTGGATGATATGGGCTTTCAGAACACGGTCATGTACACCGCAAGATGTCTCAAGTGCGAAGAGCCCCCCCGCTCCCCGAAATTTTCTCTCCACCCCACCCACCTCAGAAAGGACACGACCAGCGACATCCTCATGAACATCACCCCAAAACCTTTGAAGCCTTACGAGCAAGCCCAAACAACCTGATAAGACCTTGAGGGGCCAAGCCGCGTGGAATTTCGAGGAGATATCCTTCCCTGCTGGCAGGAGTTGCTCCAGGTCAAAGATGCCACAGATGTAGGGATTCTTGACCTCTTCGGTTTAGGGTTTAAGGTTATAGGGTTTAGGGTTTCTTGGCCTCTTCGCTTTTCCCAAAAACTAACAAGGGTTTGTGACCATTTCGCGTTTCTCAACAGAAGAGCATTTTGACGGCAAAGGGTTTGGGTTTCGCTTGTACCAAATCTGATGAAGACCGCTTAATAATAAATAAACCCCTATCTCTAAGAACCAGCAAGGATTCCTGCTCATGCCAATTATGGTCTCTTCTAAGGTAACGAAGGGTTATGAATCAGGGATGTACATTCAATAAACCAACAATAGACTCCAAAGGCAATACACATGTATGTATGTGGGTATGTACAAATGCGTGTGTGCATATATATATATATATGTATATGTACACATGCATATGTGTATATATATATGTATATATATATATATATGTGTATATATATATATATATATATATATATATATATAAACATATATAAACAGATCTATCACCTCATGTGTATATGTATTTACATGTACTGTGCATACAAGGATGGCTACCACCACCTGATGCCAACTACTACGACTAATTACCAGAACCTGTTTTTTCTTTTCACTTCAGGGACACCTCCCTTGCGCGGGGCGCCACAGGATGTTGCCATACACCTGTTGCGCACTTTCCGAAAACTCTAGTTTCATCCCCCCCCACCAACACACCCGCATTCACAAAAAACAACTTCGAGTCATGTCAAACCATGGATTTAGCACATTGTGCCGCTCAACAGCCTGCTGAGAACACAGCTTGTGAGTGTTCGGACAGGAACATAGGCAATGTAGGGGCCTGAAACATTGGAGGATACGGGCTTTCATGATTTCGAGCCAGAGTCTTGGGCCATACTGTATATAAGTATATGTCATGATTCCTGAAGGGGACAGCTTTGCTACTCATTCAGACCCTGCTACTGACGTGATACGAAATCTGAGGAACTTTGTCTCCTGAGGAAGCTTTGAGGTAAGTTGCCCGCCTACGAAGACGCCCTAAACCAGTGCTGAACCCCGTTCCCTAAACCCTAAACTCTAAACCCTAAACCCTGAAACAGGAAGCCAAAGCCTGGAGAGGACATCATTCCAGCTGTCGCTCTTGCCGGGTTTGGGATTGTAGTGATGTTGGCGTATATATTGCATTGAGTATACATGTTCAGAATTATGAACCATTTTGGGGTCCCTGATATGGTACGGCACCTAATATTTAGGGTACCCCATAAAGGGACCATCGTGTTGACAACCACCCATGTATAAGCCTTAAACTCCCTAACCACTATACAAAAAGGAACAAAAAGAGAGGAACAATGTTCCCTTTTCTGACATGCCGAAACGACCAACTGTCTCCAAGCGGCATCATTACCGCCTCACGGGCGTGCGGCTGTTCTTCGAAGGGTGTCTTTTTAGGGGCCCTTAGCACAAAGACCCGACAATTTGGGTTCTATCCTGGAGTCCCTTGTCTGTTAAATGGACCTCTTACATACTCAGCCACGCGCAGAAGTATAGCGAGAAGACGCGCTCTCTAATATTCCAAAGCCGCTATCCGCACTCACCCAAAACCCTACGATAAACAAACCCCAAACCCTATAAACCTCGAACGGTAGACCTCAATCCTACTGTATATTCCTCTCGCGATAAAGGAAAGTTGTTTTGGGGCTCTTCGGGGTTATGCAACTGCGCATATATACATATATATATATATATGTGTGTGTATATATATATATGTAACATATTCCTCGATCACCTATCATAACCTGCTCGCAGGAAAGGAAAGGTCTCAGCATAATTAAACTCTCCCTCAAACATAAACCGTTCGGGCTTTTGCGATCAGGAGATTGGCTGTGGAGTTTAGGATTTGCGGTGTGTGGAGTAGCGCAGCTACTCTTAGCCCAAAACTCCACTCCCCGGGTACTTTGAGTGGCTTTCCATCCCCTAAACCCTAAACCCCGCGAGATCAACCCTAAACCCATATATGGTCAGGCGTCTGGCGTTCCCAGCCCCCCCCCCCCCCCGGCGTGTGCGGACAGGGGTCGGAGCCGTTGGAGCTGTCACTGGATGGTGGGATGGTGCTGGCGGCCAGGGCTCACACGCAAGCCCTCCGCAAGCAAGCCGTAAACCCTATAACGCAGCGCGTGCCCTTGTTTTGAGTAACCTTAAGTTGTACTTCCAACCCTACACCCAACCCTAAACCCCACCTAACTGCAGGCTCTAAGCCTAAAGCAGAACATACACCGCAAGTCCTCCCTAAGCCCTTGTCGACTCGAAGCGTTATACCTTGTAACCGTAAACCCAACACTCAAAAGCTTAAGCTAAACCCTAAACCCCAAAACCCCACAACCACCCCACAGGGGGAGAGGGACCCCACACCCCACACCACAGGGGAGGGGGGGTCCCACCCTATATCCGGACCATTGACCTTTGGGGGGGGAGGGGGGGGGGGGCCGCGGAGCGCGTGACCATATATGGTCGGGCGTCTGGCGTTCCCACCCCCCCCAATGGTATGGTCTGATAGGGTGGGGGGGGGGGGGGCCCTGGCGTGCGCGGAAATGGTTGGGGGCCGTTGGAGCTGCCACCGGATGGTGGTGGTGCTGGCGGCCAGGGCTCACGCGCAAGCCCTTCGCAAGCAAGCTGTAGACCCTTTAACGCAGCGCGTGCCCCTGTTTTGAGCAACCTTAACTTGTACTTAAAACGCTACACCCAACCCTAAACCCCACCTAACTGCAGGCTTTAAGCCTAAAGCAGAGCGTACACCGCAAATCCGCCCTAAGCCCTTGTCGACTCGAAGCCTTATACCTTGTAACCGTAAACCCAAAACTCAAAAGCTTAAGCCAAACCCTAAACCCCAAAACCCCACAAACACCCCACAGGGGGAAGAGGAACCCCACACCCCACACCACAGGGGGGGGGGGGCCCCACCCTATATCCGGACCATTGACCTTTGGGGGGGGAGGGGGGGGGGGGGCTGCGGAGCGCGTGACCATATATACCCCAAAGGGTGACCCGTAGGGCCTCCATAAGTCGTTTAGGGCTGTTTTGAGCCACAGGGTACTAAGCATTAAATCAGCTAAAGCCCCTTAAAGCCTAAGTCCGAAACCTTGCACACACAAATTCCCAAAGTTCTCTACACCAGCCTGCGCCCATGACCACAGAAACATCTGGCATCAGAATGTCTGCAGATGAGTACGAACTCATGTCCTGCATATGGTGGGTCGCTTTGAGAATGGGTTTGTGAGGTTCAGGGTTCCTTCAAAGGGCATAACAGGGGGTCCTGTTTGGGTTTCTAGAAGGTTTTTAGGGTTTCGGTTTTAGGTTTAGGGCTTTTCAGCTAAAGGGCTTCAGGGTTTGGGGCTTCGGGGCTATTTGCTTGCAGTGCTTAGGGCTTCGGGCTTCTGACGAGGCTTGCTGCCAAGACTTGAGGTTTACACCAGCGTAGCTTTCCAGGCATAGGCTGGGCATTCCTAATCTCCCTCCCTGGTCGCCCAACTTGCACCAACCACTTAGGAGTTTCCGAAGATAGGGGACCTTGCTATATAGTACCCTGAATAGGAGGATCCATATCCTAAGGACCCCAAGTGAGGTACCCCTAAGTATCGAAAACTCCCACATAAGCCGAGAGGCTTCCCCAAAAGACCAAAAAAAACTATTACCTACTATAGCGGCCTTAGTAATTCTAATCGGGTTTTGGGCCCATTATACTTTAATTGTAATAGGGAACCTCCAAAATAGTATAGGCAATTATTATGGCCCCTATATACTCTACCACTGTTGTAGCGACTCTACTGCGAAGTAAGAACTCCTGAAGTCAGGGGTCTCAGCAACCCCTCAAACCCCTATAAGCCCTAAACCCCAAACCCCTATAAACCCTAAACCCCTAAACAGGCCCTAAGCCCCTAAAAAAAAGGGGTCTCAGCCCGAAAGCTGCAGCAAGCCACGAGCTGCGAATAAAGCGTGGAATCCCGAACCTCACAGCAGAATCGAAGAGGATGGTACCCTATGCCTCCACGGACCTTATTATGGGGTCCTTAAGGGGTCTAGGGCCCTAACTATGAGGCCCCTGGAGGGATAGGGGTAACATAGGGCCCCTGATAATTAGAATGAGGTTTTCGTGCACATTATACTATAATTAAACATAATAAGGAACCCCCGAAATAGTATAGGTAATTATTGAGGCCCCTATAGTAAACATCCGGACACAGGCCTAAAACCCTAAACCTTAACAACTACTCCCCACCGTCCTAAACGCATCATGACTACGATTTGTCCTAAACCCCCATTGCTAATCTCGACTCCCAAGCCTAAATTTAGATGTTGAAGCCTAAGCTGACTAGGGCTTATTTTAGGGTTTAGGTTAACACATCGAGCCAACGTTGGGGGCTGGTCGATATACATATACATATATATATATATATATATATAAACAGAAAAGAAAACCCCGAAGGAGAGGTCTAAGGGATCTATAGTGATGGTATTGGCAGAAACCATAAACGCCTACACCCTGAACCCTCCCTAAACCCTAAACCCCAAACCCTAAACCCGAACCCAAAGAAAGATTCTCGGCTGGTCCTCCGTGGTGGGTGGGCCGGAAACTAGGTTCGCATGGAACTGACCTGCTTCAGCTAAGCTTGGGGGACAGGATTTCGAGCTTAGGGTTTAGAGTTTAGGCTTTGGGGCTGTGCGGGCCTGAATCGCTGGATTCATGTCGATCTTCGGGTTCAGCTAACTTAAGGGCCTGACTGGAACAGTATCGTTACTCATTGCTGGTTCAACGTTAAGGCTGGTATTGAATCTGGAGCATCGTCATTATAATTTTCATGGTCGTCATCATCATCGTCATCATCGTCAACCCCACTGCGCTTTGTTTACCAGGATCTATCCCGCTCAGTAGGTATTGCACGATACGCAAACCTCAAAACTGTACCCACACATCTTCTCGTCCTTCGGGGAAGCATCCGGAATACTCGACAGAGTCCGAAGCTAGTCAAGTGCACGAAGTGCTCGCATTAGAAACAACGTATACACTGCTTAGGTACCTGGACCGTTAGGAGCAAGAAGGGCCTTTGGTCCTTCTTGCTCTCGCCTCGTCGTGAGTGGTGGAAGAACGCATGCTCCGCACCCAAGGCCCAGTGCATGAACTTGCTCACATCTTCGATGGGATACCTTTTGGGGTTGAGGGAGGTGTGGGGTTTCAGAGTGTAGGGTTGGGGTTCAGGGGTAGGGATACCTGAGAGCTTTACTGTGCTACAGCCAGTCGATGTACTGTATGAGCCCCTGAGAGATTCTATAACGCTTCTTGAAACATGTATATCTTAGAAGGGGCCCCCACCTTGTAGTAGTGACTATAAGGATTATATTAGGGCCCTATTATATTCCTATTATACCACTATTACAGGGTGGGGGCCCCATCTACTGTATGTCCATTTCGATAGGGGCTGTATGGGTTCGATAGAGTCCTACGACAGTTTCCTATCCGGTATACGTTTTTACTCTTGGGTTTCTGGGCTTTCAAGCCAACCCCCACAAATGCCACTGAAACCCTGAACCCTGAGCCATAAACTATACCTCGAAGCCCCTTGGGAGTCCCCTCGAAGCGAGGAGAAACACTCAAATCCTAGCCTACCCATAGGCCCAAAAGTAGTTCCTTTTTGCAATTACCTTAAAGGATTCTATATATGAGCCCCAAAAAGGAACTACTTTGGGGCCTTTGGGTAACCTTGAACCTCTAAATAACCTCCCTTTTTCAGGACTTGGATAAGGAAGTCACAAGGAGGATGCCGAATCAAAGGGTAGGTAGGTTTTTCAAGGGCCCTTTCCCTTTAACCCCCGAAACCCTGAACCCCAGAATACAAAAGAAAGTACCATGCCCCATGATCCGCTTCTACAGAACCCTAAAGAACCTCTACAAACCCCTTATAAGCCCTATAGAGTCCTCAAAGGAACGTACCCTTATGTAGACCCTTTATAGATCCCTTTAAGGAGCCCTTTGAGGAGGAGCCTTTCACTTACTGAGTCCGGCAGAGCGCCTGTTCCCTCCACTGCAGGCCTTCATCGGCACCCTGGGCTGAAGCTCGTTGGGCTCCCAGAGGCTCCATAGTAGTTCGTTTTTTGGGACTACCTTATAGGATTCTATAATATAGGGTTTAGGGTTTGGGGCTTAGGGTTATAGGGTTTACCTGGACCCTCAAAGTATGTAGAATAATAGCCTTTTATAGGGTTTGGGCCATTATTTTACTTAATTTTGGGGGTCTAGTTAGGGAGGGTCTAGGGTTTATTTAGAGTTTAGGGGTAGGGTCTACTTAGAGGCTCCATAGTAGTTTTTTTTGGGATTACCTTATAGGATTCTATATGGGTGGTGGTCCAAATTAGGGTCCCTTTTTGTCGATCATACTAGGGACCCAAAAAGTGACCTAATTTGGACAGCCACACACATATCAACCCCAAAAAAGAACTACTATGGAGCCTTAGGGTGGGCTCCCAGGGTGTAGTGCAGCCGGCCCAGTGAAAGAACTCGCTGAGGCGCTTGGGATACACAACCAACCGGGCTTCAGTGTTGAGGGGTTTAAGGGTTTAGGGTTTAGAGTTTTGGGGTTTAGGGGTTTAGGGTTTAGAGTTTTGGGGTTTAGGGGTTTAGGGGTTTAGAGTTTTGGGGTTTAGGGTTTAGAGTTTTGGGGTTTAGGGCTTAGGGTGGCCCTAGAACCGTAATCCGCTAGTCACATCTCCATCCCTCAGCTCCAAGTCTTCAAGCCCAAAGCCTATCTTAGACCCTAAACCAGAATCTTCAAGCCCAAGCCCATCTTAAACCCTAAATGAAAATCTTGAAGCCTAAAGCCCATCTTAAGGCCTAAACCAGAAGACCTTGCCAGAACCCATTTCCCTCACATCACCTTGAATAGAACTGAACTCTGAAGCCTTAATCTGGGTTCTCCAGGGTCCCCTCACTATTAAACAAGTATATACTTATCCCATGATATGCTTAAGGCCGTCCGGGCATCTTCGACACGACATAAATTATGGAACATGGCTTTTCATAAGGACTACGTCAGGGGCTGCTTGGAGGTTTGTGCTACACTTTGGTAGTGGGATAATAGGGACTATAGGTTTAATGGGATGTCGTTGAGTATGCATCAGCATGGTTATACTGCCGCGAATAGAAATTACACACCACCTCTTAAGACCCCTATGCTAGCTGCTGCCATGTAGCAGCACCCCCCAGGCAATGTTGCCACCTTCCTCACTGGCGAAGATGAGGGTGACTTCCTCCCGGTGCGAGGCAGCGGCTCAAGGAAAGCTTTGCCGACAAGTCTGCGCAGTTGTGAATCGAACACGGGATCCTGATATCGCATAAATTCTGAACCCCGGTATAGACACGAACTCTGTCGCTGTTCGTTGGACCGACATCTGGGAGGTTTACAGCAAAAACAGGGCCCTACATGACCCGGCAAACTCAAAGCGGTGAAGGATCCCAAAATCCTATGAGAGGTTCGGTTTCTGGGGAAAGGGTTTGGGTGCTTCGGGAGGCTTCGGACATCGCACGCAGTCCACACATATGCAGGTGCCAGGAATTGCTTGCGCACCGGTGTTCGCGCCAAACCCATCTTGCTTGTAGCACGCCTGGCAGCCGACCACATCCGCATAAGGCCGCCGCTCGCCGCCACTCAGCACCACGATCTCGGCATCCTCCAAATCGACGTCGACGAACGTTTCGGGTTCGTCGCGGAAGGCCACCTGGATGAACTCGGAGTCGTCTTCCTCGCGCTCCATCATTGCCAGGGCGACCGGGACACCGAGGTCAGCTTGACTTTCGTGCCGGCCCCATCACATCGAAGGCGAATTCTCGGATCATCAACTTCTCGGCGGGCTCCTCGGTCTCAGCGTGCGTGTCGGGCTCTTTGGTCTCCAATGAAGCCCTAAAAGAACCTCAAAACCCTGTAAGTCTCCATAATGCCGCATTGGACCGCTATCGCTGCTAGATGCTCCCGGTAACTGACATGCAGTCCCAAACCCTAAGGGTCCATGTACTCAGATAGTTACATTGGCCTTAATGTAGTCCCTATATAGGTACTTTGGGGCTCATGTATCTCTATATGGGTACATGGACCCTTAGGGAAACCACACACCTTTCCAAGGCCCTATAAACCTCAGCCCCGCGTTCTTCGGCGTCGCATCTCGCCAGACTGCGGACCACGGAAGAAGGCCCTTGTCGTAAGGACCTTTGTGAAGGATCCCTGCTAGGATGCAAACCTCCTGAAGCATGGGATGACTGGCGTCAGTGGGGTTTTGACGGTTTAGGGTTTAGGGTTAGGGTTTAGGGTTTCCCTAACTGAGAAGCGTCACGCCGCACTCCTCCTGTACTGAACTTAAGCCGTGCTGGGTATCGCATCCATATTGCTTGGAAGGCTTTCATGTTTTGATCGCAGTATATATTCCCTTACTGAGGGAAGGGGATGTGCTATTCTGAATCCTAAACCCTTCTCTACGGGTCCAAGTGCCCAATATACACTCCCGAGTACGAGTACCTATCCACAAAACTACAGTCCGAAAGCCAAGTACGGTATTACTGGATTTTCTGGATCTTAAACCGTCTTACATCCCGAAAGCACCCCAGAGAACCCTGACGGAACCTGTACTTACTGGATCTTTCCAACCAGTAGGGTAGCCTTTCAAACGGACTCCCGATAGCTAACATAGGGGTCTCAATAATTAGAACATACTTATAATAAGGAACCCCAAAATCGTGTACCCTAAACCCCTACACCCTTCTAGATCCCTTTGAAGGAACCCTTATAGGATCCCTTTATAGGTAATTACTAAGGCCCCTATATTATCTGTGATAGCCGTCACCTGCGAAGGCTGTAGCTGAGGAGTGACGTAGTCCGCTGAGTAGCCTTGGCACACGGTACAGTATAGAGCCCATGATTACTAGTATGAATGTGTTGTAATACACAATATATCTGTATGCATATATGTATACATATATATATATATATACATATGCATGCATATCTATATAACAGGGCAGGGCTTTGAAGGTCAAGGCATTCATATACATACAACTAGAAATGCAGAAGCTGCTCAACGCTGCAATTTAGAGAGGGAATCGGAGAAAGCTTCAAGGGATCGTGGGGCTTCAGGGAACGGAGGATCTCTGCTTTTTGCGGGTTTTGGGAGTTTGGGGATCTAAGTTTGGGAATTATGGTTTAGGGGGAAGTTTGGGCTTAAGGTTTAGGGATCGAACCTAAGTAAGAGCTTAGGGAGGCATCTTAGCTAGGAATTGGGGCTTAGGGTTGAGGATTTAGGGATCTAAGTGAGGGTTTAAGACTCTTCGTAGAGGGGCTTCATGCTCTTACAGGTGCCTTACTTATAGTGCCTGTGCAACATGGATCCGACTATTCATGTCTCTGGATTAGGGTCCATAATTGTAGTTGTTGTTCCCTGCAGCTCGTCGTCTCATGCAAAAATCACAAGTGCAACTGCGGCAAGTAAATGTCGTACACACCTTGTGAAGTCCTATCCAAGCTTGGAAACACCAGCAGTACCAGACTTGGGCAAAAGGGCAAACAAGCTGAGGGGGTGTAACAAGTTGGAGCCTCGTCTTTTCATCCAAAAACAACACGCCGAACATAGCCGGGACAGCCTAAAATCCTAAACCCAGGCACTACATCCTAAACCCCTCACAAAATTCCAGGGAACCCGCTAAAAGGTCGAGCCCTGCGATCACTTAAACTACTTGCTTTCGTATTGCAGACAAAAGCCAAGACCAGCTCTTAGAAAGCTCAAAAAGCGAATCAGAAAAGAGCCACGCTTCGTGATGAAGAAACCTAACAGCCTAAAGCCTAAGCCAAAACAACACCCGAAAAACCATACTGCAACACCGAATCCAAAACCAGGTACTAAAACCCTCCAGCTCCCCTAAAAGTAGCCCCTTAACCCTAACAGGATCCTTTTTTAAAGAACCCCCTTATAGTAACCCTAGTAGGATCCTCAAGAACCTACAACCCTCAATTAAGCCTCAACCCGAGCTCCACTTCCGCCCTCCTCCGCCAAGGTACGTTCTTCCGCGACGAACTGACCAGCCTCCTTGCGCACGACGAACCTCGGCTGTGGCCCTAAATCCTACCCATGGGCCCTATAGTAGTTCCTTTTGGGGGTTCGTATTCAGAATTCTATGAGGTAGTCCCAAAAAGGAACTACTATGGGCCTCTGGGTAAACCCCAAATCCAACACCGTGGCTAACTAAGGATTAGCCCCAGTTTGGGGTGGACTTGCTATAGCTGCCGATTTCTAAAATCCAGCAGTGTAAATGACATTGAAAGATGCCGAAGTCTAAGTAAATAGATACTAAGAGCCTACTGTATTGGTACTTGGACGCTTTGGGATTCAACCCACAACCCCCCAAAAAAAAAGAAATCCCTAAATTCGAAGCTCCTAATATCTTCCAAAGGCGCTGCTGAGCGCCTTTCATGCCACCGTTGCCACCCAAGGCTAAAGCGCTCCAACCGGCGTGGTTCTGCACAAACAGCAGCTGCAAAGTGTTCGGTTAGTGTTTTGGGGTTTATAGAGTGTAGGGGCAAAGTGCATAGGGCTTTGGGGTGTTGGGGCGCAGTATTTGGGTTTACGACTAGCTAAACTCACAGGTCCAAAGAACGTGAATACACCAGTTCTGTGGGCCATTAGAAAACCTTGAAACAACTATATACACCTGAATAAGGCGCCTAGGATCCCAAGAAAACCCGGAGTCATCATATACTTTGAGCTTTTGGCATTACATGTTGCGTTTTGTCCGCAACCGTCGTTGCGGTCTCGCTTTGTTCGACACCCAGGGGATTTAGCATTTACAGTGAACCAGAAAGTTAAAACATTGGATAGAGAAGATTGGTGAGCCGATTCCCCCTGTCCAACTTTGTAGTTTCTACTCATAGGCCCCAAAGTAGTTCCTTTTTAAGAATACCCTATAGGATTCTAAATATGAACCCCAAAAAGAAACTACGTTGGGGCCTATGGGTACTGTAGAGTCAATGCCCCTCAACCTGAACCCTCAACCTTAAAGCTCTCAACCCGGACTTCGCCAAGACCAGCGATTCTTAAAACTCCTACGATTGCAGACATTGAGGAGAAACCTACACCCAAACCCATACGTGGATCCCAAGAATCCTACATTTCAAGGACTTACAATATGCATATACATATATATATATATACATACATACATGGAAATTATAGTAAGGAACTCCAAAAGGGTAGGATCTGTCGGGTTCAGGTACACCCTAATTGGGGTTTAGGGTTTAGGTTTGGGGCCTAGACCCAAATCGGTGGACCTCGACGAAGAGTCCCAGCTTCATGAACTGGTTGGTCGAGTCTGGGCCATAATACCTTCCCGACTGCATTTATGGTGTGGGGTTCGGGTTTAGGGGTTTGGCGTTTATGGTTTGGTGTTTAGAGTTTAGGCCGGGTTTAGGGTTTGTTGTTGTGGGTCTTATGCTTAATCTTTCCGGGGCTTGCGAAAGCGGTGATGTGTAACGGTTTTGGCCCCGTGACATGTTCCACTATCTGCACGTCACTGGAGTTGAGTTCGCTGATTTCTGCAGTAACCTAAACTCAGTAGCCTACACACTAAACTGAAAGCTCCACACCCCAGACCTTAAAGATTTGGCTACATAACGGCTTGAAAAGAACTTGGGAAAGGTGTGATATACGACCACCTGCAAATGGCTATATACATCGGAATATGTATGATTATGGCCACGTAGCATAGGGGTTTAAAAGTCTGGAGCATATTGAACTACAATATTCACAAGCATATTCGGGAATAGTTATGTCGCGTTCGGTTGCAGTGTTGTCGGCCGAGAGATTTCTCCTCGAAGGTTCCAGTGGTCGCAAAAGGTTTTCATCTAAACCGGTTTAACTTCGGGCACTTGGACCCTTAGAGTACGAGCTTAACCGCAACACTCAACACAAATGAACACCAGTACAAGCAGGAGCTAGGCACTCAGCAGTCCCGATCGCTTGGCCTTCCACCCTAAACCCTGAACCTTTGAAGAACCCATGGCGGAGCCGTGGTGGGAACCCTTAAACCCCCAAACCCTAAACCCCTAAACCCTAAACCCCTAAACCCTAAACCCCTAAACCCTTAAACTCTATGAGACTTTGAGCCCCAAGATCTGCTCAAGGCCAAGGCACATCAGAATGTCGGAAGCCAGCTGCGTACAGTAGGGCCATTTGTCCTGAGAGTGTACCCTAAGGCCCCATACCAGTTCCTTTCTGGGGTTCAAATTTGGAATCTTATGGGGTTATCCCAAAAAGGAGCTACTATGGGACCTTTGGGTGGGGCCGACTTACCCAAAGGGCCCAAGTAACAAGTAACAGTATGGTATATAATTACTTCGGGGGCCCAAATCGCTACTAAGAACCTACTATATTGACTTTGGGGGCCCAAAATCGCTACTAAGAGCCTACTATATTATTGGTACTTGGACCCTTTGTGTGTAAATCAAGTCTTGTAAATACCTAGGTTCCTGAGTAGCACCCTTTTGGCCTTCTTAGCTTGGGGTTTCCTCATTAAAGACTGAATATTAGGAAAAAGTGTACCCTTAATATTGTTCTTACTTTTGTTATTCTTATTATTAAGGGGCTACTGGGGAACCTAGATCCTAAACCCTAAACCCCAACCCTAACCGCAAACACAGTCCTGAAGGGCCTCGACGTGTGATACTAATAATTATACTGTTGCTTGGACCCTGTGGGGTAGGCTTCCTATCGGAGGCCTCAAAAGGTGGGATGAAGGTAGGTAGCATTAAGGATCCCTTATATACGGACTCTTATTTGGGAATATCCCACCTACCTTCATCCCACCTTTTGAGGCCTCCGATCCTAGAGTTCAGGTGGCAGGTGGCGGACAGTAGCGGGAAGCTTTGATGCATACTCAACTGAACGCTACACCCCTAAACTTTACCCTAAGGCCCCATAGTAGTTCCTTCGTGGGGTTACCTTATAGGATTCTAAATGTGAACCCCAAAAGGGAACTACTTTGGGGCCTTAGGGTAAAACCTTCATACCAAACCCCCCCCCCCCCCAAGCTGGTCAGTGTCAGCGTGCCCCTGAGCTCGAGCCAACTTACGCTACCAATCATCAGAAGGAGACCTAGAGAGTGTGTATCAGAGCTCATGTTAACACTCTACATCAAAAAGCGGCTTTGGTCGGCTGAGACGCCCTAGACCACGAACCCAGAGCCCCATGGATACTGAAACCTATATGTCCCCTCGTCTCTTCCCCGAGTCCTGGGCGAAACCGCCGGCACCATCCTGACTGAAAGAGAGCAAAAAGTCCATACATACTCCCACTATGGAGTTACGTCTCTTTTTCCATAACAGGAGCGTGCGCGGACCCTCTCGGGGAACTGGAGGGTATAGGGTTTAAAGCCTCATGCGACAAATGCGAAGAATGTGGAGAAATGTGGCCCTGACGCATGTGTCCACATTTCTTTCATGTGTTCCCTAGGGAGAATGCACTTGTCCAGCAGGCCAGTGCTCTTTACAGTAGGAATCACATTTTTCGTCATAATATTCATCCCTAAATTTCCAGTCGCAAGTGAAGTGCAGTTTTCCCATTTCGAGAGAAGCCCTTCGATTGGCCTCTCATGTAGGTGAGCTGCTCCAAAACCGTAAACTTGAAGTTTGGGGCTTAGGGCTTCAGGGTTGAGGGTTCAGAGTTTAAGGTTTAGGGTTGGCTATAGGCCTCGATCCCTACCCCTAAGCCCTCAAAACTGTAACCCTTAATCCTAAAGTCTACTTATGAGAGTTATAGCTGCGGGGCCCAGCAAGTCGCGGCCGCGGCCGCAGTGAAAAAGCCGGCAGCTAGCAGCAAGCGGGCCATGCTGTCTCCTCGGGCAGGAAAAAAGTAGCAAAGGACGAAATCATAAAACTGAATAGACATCTTTGTCTGGATTTAGGACTTCAGGAAAAATCTAGGAAGGTATGTAGGGGAGTCTGTAACTATGTGATTCGCAGCACTTTAGACCTTTGGCGAGGAACCCAAAGCACTTATAACGCGAGAACATAACAAAACGAAGCCAACTTGCAGCCGGGTTCAGGTTCAGGTTCTCTGGGCTCAGAAGAACCTCCTTGATCTGGAATGAAACTGAGGTTCAGGGCTTTGGGTTTACGGACTACGAGTTTTTTCTAAGAGTGTGTTGGAGCTACGAGTTTTAGGGGTTGAGGTTCTTGAGTGGCCACGTGTCTGACTACACAAAATCGAAGCTTCCGGAGGACGTTGGCCCCTTGCGATGGGGTCTGATAATCAATATAGGGACCTTATAATGATTAGAGTAGGGTTTTGCTTCCCATTATACTATACATGTAATAAGGAACCCCCAAAGTAGTATTTGCTGGTTGTTTCACGTAGGATAGTCCCCAATACACAGCTCATCAACACATGTACAGTCACAATCATAGTATTCTGCTTCATCCGGCCATCACCATCGTCATTTATATTTTCTTCTTCCAAAATCACCATCATCATTCTCATAACCTCTTGTGTCATCATCATCATCATCATCGTCATCGTCACCATCATCGTCATCATGGCATAAGACCGAGTCGCGATGGCGCGCTTTGCTGCAAATGCAAGACACGCCCTGCTTCGTTTGGCCGTCTGATAAATGCGGCTGCAGGGTATGTCGACGGTTAAAGCCCTTCCTGGACCCTAAGAAACCTACCGTTTTAGGGTTCTTTACATCCCCCGGCACCTTTCATGACCTGAAAACCCCTTTAGGGTTTCGGGTCTTAGGGTTTAGGGCTTTCCTTCTCAAACCTAGAACCCCAACCCTTTTGCCCATGTGCGAGTAATAGAGGCCAGTGACGAAGGCCTTTCGGCCGAGAAAACTCAAGCGCCCCCTCAGACATGAAGCCCTGTAGAAGCCTTAATCCCTATGCCTCGAGGAACCTTATTACGGGGTCCTTAAAGGATCTAGGGCCCTAACTATGAGGTCCTCGGGGGCAACAGCCTTAGGAATTTGAAGGCTTTTTTTTGCTCTCTTTTTTTTGGAGGAAGGGGGGGGGAAATAATTCTGGGAGAAAGCAGGAACTACAATGGGATTGACCATAAAGACCTGAGACCTCTTGGAGCACCTAAAACCGCGAAAATTCCCTACCCTAAGGCCCCAAAGTAGTTCCTTTTGGGGGCTCGTATAAAGAATCGTATTAGGTAACCCCAAAAAGGAACTACTATGGAGCCTCTGGGTAAACATGTGAATCCCTAATCTCAACTCCTCGCGATACTGACGAATACCACTGCCTGGGGCTGATGTGAGACCAGACTTTCTATCGTGAAGGCCGTGGGATAGAACATGCCTGCCTGCTGGAGGACAAGTGGGAAATCAATGCTTACATCTTCAGATGCGATGCACAACCCTAGTTTACATAGGCCGGAAGCTACACAACAGAAACCCAAAATTGCCAAAACCCTTCG